TGACGAAGATCCCACCTACACTCGTCCACCACCACTGCCCAATATTAGGGAAAGGATCACCTGTTACAACTGTGGAAAACGGGGACACTGTAGAAAAGAATGCAGAGCTCCAAGACATCCCAGACAAGACGGACCCCTGGGAAGGGCAGCACGAACATCATCACCACGCCCCAACTCTCGCTAGGAAATGGGCAAACCGGTGTCACCCCTTATGGCAGTGTCCTTGAACGGGACTGGGGGACCCCGTAGCTAGGGGTGGCCCCTCCTGTCTAAGAGCTGTCTTCGTTGCTCAAGCACTGTTGAACAAAACTTAAGACCTGGTTTAGCACACCCCCTGCTTCTTCTGGCACCGCATGACATTGCTGCCATCCTGAACCAGGTACAACCCCGACACCTCTCTACGGCCAGATATCTACGGTTGCAAATCTCCCTTCTCATTCCTGACAATGTGACCCCCCAAAAGGTGTCTCACCCTCAACCTGGCCAACCCTTCTGCCATTTTTCGAGAGGGGAGAAGGAGAAGGTGAAGGAGACCCCTGCACTACTCCACATGACTGCCTTGAAATGATGCACATGGAAACCACACATCTCCCTACAGTGAGTGAAATTCCTCTGGAAAACCCTGATTACACACTTTTTGTGGATGGATCCAGATATGCAGATGAAGGAGGCAAGTACCACACAGGTTATGCTGTGATTTCTGAATTTGAAATTCTACAAGGAGGAGCATTACCACCAACTGTATCTGCCCAGAAAGCAGAGCTTCAAGCCCTTACTACAGCGTGTAAGATGGCAGAAGGAAAAAGAGCCAACATTTACATAGACTCAAGGTATGCCTTTGGAGTAGCTCATGACTTCGGTATCATCTGGAAAGCCAGAGGGTTTCTGACAGTGGCTGGAACACCGGTGAAACACGGCCCAGCCATCAAGGATTTAATGGATGCACTGCTCCTGCCTGACCAAGTGACTGTTTTGAAGGTTAAAGCACATGGCAAACTGAATTCTCAAGAGTCCAGAGGGAACCATTTGGCGGATATAACTGCCAAAGAAGCAGCGAAAAATCAACGAAAAACGGCCGAGGTGGCCAAAGAGGAGAGACCTCAGCACAGATGCCTTTGGTGGTGCATGTGCCATCTGACAAGCAATATCTAGTCTCTATGCAAATGGCTGCTTACACAGAAGAAAGGCTGTAATGGATCGATAAAGGAGCAGACTACAATGGAGAGTTGTATTCGATGAAAGGAAAAACTTGTTTACCAAAATATATGTATCCAGCAGTCGTCCAATGGGCACATGGACATGCACATCTCTCTAAGAACTTAATGAACTCACTGATCAGCAAGTATTACTGGGTTCCAGGGATAACCACCTTAACCAGAAATTACTGCGCTTCGTGTGTAGTATGTGCAAAATGCAACCCGGGGAGGACAGAAAAGACACCGCAGAAACATCTGGCAAAACTCCTCTATCCATTCCAGAGGGTACAGATTGATTACATTATATACAGATGCCAAAAAGTGGCCGATACGAATATGCCCTAGTGGTGGTGGATATGTTCTCTGGTTGGCTGGAAGCCTATGCTGTTACAAACATGACAGCCAAAACCACGGCTAAGAAACTACTGAGTGACTTAGTCTGTAGATTTGGGGTCCCAGAGGTGATAGAGAGTGATCAGGGTCCAGCCTTTACAGCAACCCTTACAAAAGGGATTTGGACAGTATTGGGGGTTCAGTTGGCCCTACATACCCCATACCACCCTCAAAGCAGTGAGAAAGTAGAAAGGATGAATGGGACTTTAAAAAACAGGATGCTAAAGATAGCCCAAGAGACTAACATGAGTTGGCCAGACAGTTTGCCCATTGCCCTGTTTAGTGTCAGACACACCCTCCGGGGGAAACATGCCCTGTCCCCTTATGAGATTTTGTTTGGTTCAGCCCCCAGACTTGGTTGTTATTTTCCACAACAGTTGCAATTACAATCTGATGTGTTAACTAATTATGTGACTGCATTATCACGTTAATTAACCCATATCCATGTCCAAGTGTTTTATTCCATTCCAGATCCTGAGTCAGATACACGAACTCACAGCCTATTACCCGGAGATTGGGTATTCGTAAAGAAATTTGTGAGGAAATTTTTTTTTTTTTTTTTTTTTTAAATAGATATGATGGTCCATTCCAAGTTCTGCTGACCACAGCCATTTCTGTCAAGGTGGCCGGGAAGAACACTTGGATTCCACTGCAAGAAAGTCCCAACCCCTGAGGAAAGGGCGTCATCTACACCATGACAACTATGTTGTATATCTTTTCTAATGAGTCTGACAGAGGCTCAACAGGTGGCTATCACCGAAATAAGTGACACCACTATATTTTGGTACAATTCATCCAACACACGTGGCTACTTTCTTATTTGATTACTGTGATGTAAGCCCGTGCCCAGGCCCGAGATGGCAGTGCATGTGGTCTAAGATATTTCTGACACACACACTAACTCAGCATCAAGTCACAGGAGGAAGCGGACAGCTCCCTCCGGAAGTTTTGACCCTCATGTGTACATAAATGCCACTGACACTAATACAGTGATCAGTGCTAATAAAAAGCACTGACATTGTACTAATGACACTGGGCAGGAAGGGGTTAACATCTGGGGAGATCAAAGGGTTAACTGTGTGCTGTTTTACTGTGTGCTGTGTGCGTTTTACTAGGGAAACATGCTGCTGCGTATTTCTTTGCTGTGCAAAGAAATACACAGCAGCATGTTATTGCTAGCAGGAGAGAGACCTGTGTTGTTCACACACAGGTCTCTCCCCTGGCACGGCACTGTTTCTTGGCGATTGCCGGGTGCTGACGGGGAATCTCTGGCCGGGACTTAGTGGCTGACATCTGTAGCCGCCAATGGCTACCCGGAAATGCAAAATCACGTATATAAAATATGTGATTTTGCGCAGCCCTGCAGCAGTATTTCTGCTATAGGGTGGTAGGGATGCAGTTAATACCGCTTTAAGTATATACAAAAATGTTAATCAATAAATCATTAGTAAATATCCCCGTTTCACATACTTGATAAATACAGACCAGTGCTACCCAATTGGCGGTTTTGGTAAGAAAAGCCATGTATTCTGAGATGGTGGGTTTTCTCCCTTTCACTAACAAGCTTTGGCAGGGTTAAGAAGTGTGAGATGGTGTTAAAGGGCAAGTTCACTTTTAGCAAAAACTAATTTGGTCCACCATTCCTAGCCCAATAACTTAGCAACCCCCAGCCCAGCTCATCACTGCTGGTCATGCCTGTGTAGTGAGCTCCTGTTGACTTGAAATAGGTCATACGCCAGTGTCTCTTGTCTTGGGAGTCAAGTCCATGAAATCTTGCTGCACATGCTTGCCCATCACTAAAGATTTTGACCTGGCAGAGGCTAAATAACGCAGATTTACTTACTTCATTCCCTCTTTCTGACATTCCTGCCAACATAGGTACTTTAAAAAAGAACCGGTCAGTATCTAATACTATTGGAGAACGTATGCACATCCTCAATTCCTTAGGCATAAAGTTTCTCTCCTGTACAATTGAATCAATGCCCCCTTCTGAAGTCCTCAAGCCACTGTATCTAGCCAAAGGGGAAAGAGACCTTCATATAACATTCTGCATGGAATAAATTGACAAAAATACTCTTTTTCACCCATAAGGCTTCAACCTGCACCAAACATCAAGATTCAAACTATAAAATTCTGACAAGATGGTATCTCACACCTTGTAGGCTTCACAAAATCTTTCCACATGCATCAGACTTTTGCTGGGGATGTGGTGCCACCCAAGGAGACGTCCTGCATATCTTCTGGAATTGTGACAAACTCCATAATTCCTGGTCTATGGTGAGGAGTAGAATGCAAAAATGCACCAATTTCCTGATTCCCTTGGAACCGGCCTTCTTTCGCTTACATCATCATGCCAAACCTAAGATGACGCTTTGTCTTACATTTTTTTTTTTTTTAAGATGTGGTCTCTACTGAAAAAGACTCCCATGACCAGAAAAAAATGGTTCTATTGGCATTAATTCATGCACTCTGATGATTACAAAACCTTCACAGAGTCTACATGAGACCATCTACTGTTTCATACTCTATGGACCTGAGCTGGTCTGGTGACGGGGAGAGCCTATCCTATCTTTTCTGCCTATCTTCCTCCACTAGTTCATTCTCCCTTTGCTTTTCTTCCACTTGGCCGTTGATTACTGTGTTCTTTTTACATTTTTCTAATTTCTTTATGCTTCTTAATACTGGAAGTATGCACCTGTTTTTTCTGTAATCTGAATACGCTGTGCCACCTAAAAACCTCACTAGTTTTACTGCATATTTGTAATGCATCTGTACTCACCTGTCTCTGCATGATATTTTGTCTTCACAATATTTTTCTACCTCAATATATGCACGCGTATTGTATGTATTTCCTTTGTTCAAAAATAAACAATTAAAAGGAAACTGGTCAGGCCAGAAATATAGGATTTGCCCTTGTTAGCTGTATGTCCTTTAACAGGCAATGGAGCTGGACGCTGCACCTGTGCTTTCCAGGCACATTTAATCACCAGGATCATATGAACAAAGGCTAAATGCCTAGTGCACAAGAGGTCTAATTATCCATTTTAATTAATTTTCTCAGTTTAAAACACCCAGGTATTTGCTTGGTTTACTGTGTTTGGGAAGAGAGAGAAATGAAATGGGAAGAAATTCTGATACCAACCATATAGACTGTTGTCACACATTTGCTTTCTGACTAAAGATGCATTTATATTTTACATCATGTTACATTAGACCTACTTACAGCATCAGTTCACCCTGTCCCAGCAGAAAAGAGCAGAATAAGAATATGACATTTATAGCAATGTATTCTTTATTAGCAGCTGTTCTGTAGTTTTGTGTGTTAACATTTAGCAGAGGCAAAACAAATATAACTCTGATACTAAAAATGTCATTTCTTCACAGTAGTAATATTTTCACCAATTTCTTCCTCTAATCATCTCCTCCACAGAGTTTCAGCAGCGCTGCCTCGTAGTCCCCAGAGGTATCCGACTGAAGACAACAAATATAAAACAATGTTGTGTTTAAAGCACACCTTTATAATTAGCTGTCATCAGAGGCAGAAGCCTGAAAACAATGCATATGGGAGGCTCTTTCGTTATGACTTTAATATTCCCTTTCATAAGGCTGGCTAGTATGACTGGATTTCTGACAACTAACAAGGTATATATAACAGAATAAAAACATATATGAATTGCTTATAACCGTGTTCAGGTTTAAAAATTATAATGACTAAAACATCTATTTACAGTTAGCCTTTATACACCGTAACTGTTCAACCTTTCTACACGCATACAATCTACAAATGGAGTTTAGGTGACGCCTCTTGTTAACGAACATAAAGCTGAACTCTGGGTATGAGGTTTATTGCATATTCGCAGATGTCCAGCTTGGATCAACGCAGGTACAAATATTACATATCTTAGGTTCTGATGGGAAATCTGGCAATCACAGTAATAGTGGGTGTTACTATAGTGATAGCTGTGATCTTCAGGGTCATGTGTGAAGTGACTTCCCCTCACTCAGCATTGCCACCATTTACAGAACGCCTTGTATTTTTTTTCAATTAATACTAGGCATTCTCTGATTGAATGGTGTGGAGAGCATAATATCACCACCTAATACTTGTACTTGCTATCGGCCTTCCTTTTTTAAACAGGGGAAGGTTCAGACCCCTTCTGATGCCAATTTAGGGCATACGGTGCTACAAGCTGCTTCAAAGGCTTCTTAAACCATTTTTGTTCTGTGGGTCTGTTGGCATTGTTAACTGTGTTATCCACCCCTCAGTTGGACTGCTTTTGGTCATTCCAGTCATTTATTTAACTCTTGAGCTCAGGAAGGTTTTACCCTCTTCATGGCCAGGCCATTTTTTGCTATTTAGCACTGAGCTACTTTAACAGGAAATTGAGCAGTCGTGCAACACTGTACTCAAATTAAATCATTTATCATTTTTTCATAAAAATAGAGCTTTCTTTTAGTTGTACTTGATCACCACTTGTTTTTTATATTTATTATATAAACAAAAAAAAGAAAAAAAAAAACAAACTTTCTGCTATAAAACCTATCCATTAAAAAAAGAATCAAATTTCTTCATAAATTTAGGCCAACAATGTACTTTGCTATAAGTCTTTGGTAAAAAAAAAAAAAAATACCAAAAAGTGCACATTAATTGGTTTGTGTGAAAGTTGTAGCAACTACAAACTAGAATATATACTGGAATTTTTATTTGTGGGACTGTGATAGTGCAGTGGGCAATCTGACACTGACATAATCAATGACACTAATACAGTGATACTATACACTGTCACTTTACTAATGACACTGGCTATGAAGGGATTAACACCTTGGGGTAATCAGGGGTTAAGTGTGTGCCTAACAAATGTTAATGTGTGCTGCTTTTCACTAAAAAAAGTCTTTGTTTCTTCTCTGTGGCTGGGACCTGCTGACAAAATCCTGCTGTATCTAATAACCGCAGAAGTCGATGGCGGAGGAACTGCACATACCCTGAACCCAGAACCACACAGCGACCTACAGGTACGTTGCTGTACCTGTAGGAGCTACCCATCCACAGTACAATGCGAGCGGGCAATCCTAAAGAGGTTAAAGAAGCACGTGTCCTGTACTGTATAATTAGTAAAATAAGATATGACTTACCAGTGAACGGTTTCCTGGAGTAGAGTACAGAAAACATATTCCTCCCCTCTGCTCTTATGATTTTGCTTGCTACAAAACTTGGGCCAGGTGGGAGTGGGAAGGGTTATATAGGGAATGCTCACAGCTTATTTTTTGCCTGTGCCCAGTAACCTGAAGCTGCATATAACCCATTAGCAATGATCTAAAGATGCCTGTGTTTTGTTTTGTTCTGGATCAGATTTAAAATAGGTTGGACCTTGGTATCTTTTCAAAACATGTTACTGTTAACATAACAATCACCTTGATTGCTGAATGCAGGGATTCCCCAGAAAGCTTCTTATATTCATTACGGATATCCAAGAGATCAATGTCTGATCTGGAGACCATGATCCTTGTAAGAGTGTATTCATCTGTTCCTGCACCCTACAATGGAAAGGAAAATTCAAAATAAAACCCAGGTGATTGCATATGTTAAAGTAAATAATACAGATATGACTAAAGCACACAAATATAGTTCACATTACAGAATAAGGAATATCCTCTAAAAGGCACATACACAAACAAGTTAGTATTAATGCAACTCAAAAGTACTAAAGATAAAATATTTATTTTGTGGTCAGGTCAGTAAATGGCCTTGAAGTACTTTTTGAAGAAAAAACAAACAAAAAAAAACCAATGCATAGTAATACCTTAATGGCTTTGTGTAACCTTTCAGCAAAGAAAGCAGGGGTGTTCCTTGCACATTTTACTGCATGACATAATAATATAATGTTAGCATTACAGTTTAGATGATTTCAGTACATTAAATACATTTCAGATTTTAATTCCAATGAAGATTAAATAGAACTTTGTTTATGCACAAATTAAAAGCATTTCTATAATTTATACATTATGCAACAAAACTACATAATTAAGTGTTCTTTAATATGGCAAGTGATAGCAGACTGCTTTAAGATAGTGGGGTATTAAACTACCCGACACCTGCTCTTCTAACATAATCTGAAAAGTTAGTACAACAGTTGTCCTGAAGATCCCTTCCTTTCACTGCTGCTACCTTTCAAATGTCCATTCTATATCCACTAGTTTTAACAGATACTCTAAAAACCACTGACATGCAGCAACCATGGAAGGAGCTTCAAAATTCTAGTTTCTTGCATTGTTATACTGATCCGAGTCACTCACCTGAAACAAGCATGCAGCTATTGAAGTGAGACTGCAGGACCCCAGATCTACATATAGGTTCTGAGTAACTTAGAAAGTATTGTAGAGTATGTATGATATAATGATTCATTTATGATCAAACTAAACTATGTTATGTCTTCTTGGTAATTGTTTTCTATAAATTTGGTGTTATCTGGTCATATGAATGCTCCAGTTTAGGGCAATGGAGAACACAGAGCTGTGTACAGCTCGTGCTGACACGGAGTGTTAACAAATCAGGCAAAGTCTCTCTTCTGCCCAAGCACTTTGTTCTCCAAAAATGTCCAGAGTTGTTATGCACTGCACAACAGACAATAGATTGTTATCAAATCTGCCCCAAAAAGTTATCTGCTGTCTATGGGCACCTTAGTTTTATGACTTCTGCAATTAATCATGATGCTTGACAATCCATGATATGCAATCACTTTCATTGTCTATCTTCTTGGTGTATCTAGCATGGGGGAGTTCATGACAACCAAAGAGCATAAATGTTAAAAAGCATAAGTTCACCTTCTGTAACATGTTACATGCTATACCCATATTCAGGTACACCCATACTTGCCCTCGCACCTGCAAAATAATGATTTCAGCAAGCAGAATTCTTGTCTTACCTATGGCCAGAAGCAAATCTTCAAGGTGACCAGATATTTCACCAGCTATGCTTTGCTCAATACCTTTAGTGCAGATTTTCTGATATTCATCAAATACTGTTTAAAAAGAAAAAAAGCCACCCTTAGGTAAAGGTTACTGAATATCATCCTTCACCCACCATGCAGTAACATACTGGCCTAACTTCACTTCAAAACTGATTTAAATAACAACTGTATACTTGCTCGCTCATGCAATTATCTAAACCAACAATAATTCAGCAACATCCAATGCAAATAGTCATGCTGATACAGGCTAGAAGCTTCAGTTAAATGTGCACATCAAAACACCAGAACAACTGTCAAAATCTTTTGTCAGTAGCATATTTCTGTAATAGCTGATTTTCTGGGGTTTTCACACTCAACAGTCTCTACTGTTTTACTCAGGATGGTGGGAAAACATTCAGGGATTGTTGATGAGAGAGGTCATATCTCAGATAACCACCCTTTGCAACTGTGATAAGCAGAAAATTATTCTAGAAATGCACAAGCACAACTAATGAAAAAACTAAGGATGTTTTGAGAACAAAGAGACTATCTACCCAGTTCTACTATAGTATTCATGATAAAGTGCTTGGAAAATGTATACAATTACTTGATGTTAGGTATACCTAGAGATGTAAAATTTCCGAGAAATTTTGAAACCATGGGAAAAAATTTTTTTTCCCTTCCTGGGCAAAAAAAAAAAAAAAAAAAAAAAAAAAAAATTGAAATTTTGGAAAAAATTTAAAAAAAAAAAAAAAAAAGTAAGTTGAAGTGCAGCGTATATATAAAGGTATTATGCGCGATATAAAAATACAGATTTTCAGGTGTCATTTTATCTATAAATTAAGGGATTGTGTATTTTTGTGGGGCAGTGGTTTGTAGCACTTCTTTACTTGAAGATGCTGCTGGTGAAGAATCACTTTGCGATGATCCAGAAGCAGTAGAAAGTGTTTCTGGAATGAGAACTCTGGAAGGAAAAGCTACTTGCACTTTCATTCTAGTTCTCATCATTCAGTCCATAAAGTATTTTTTTTAATGTCTTTAGGGCTTGGATCTTTTCCCACCATCCAGACTCTGGTTATTGACAGTCTACTGTGCTGAAACCTAGTCACGTTTTAGTATAATAAATAGCTAAAACTACAATGCATGTGCTCTACAAACCCTGAGGTGTTATGGGAAATGTGAGCTTTCAGTAGTGTGTTTTGGTGCCAGACTGCATAGGACCACGGCCTATACTCCACTTTATACCAAAAAGGAAATGATTTTATTAAACTTCCACGAAGTTTTAGTTCTCAATAAGAAAACAAATGTCATACTTAGTCTGAGTTGTGGAAAACTTCTCAAACAAAGAACTTCAATAAACTTGTCCTCATCTGTCCCCCACTTTTTCTCTCCTGCATTATACAGAATCTAGGTATGAAAAAAAAAAAAAAAAAACAAACAGAAAATTTAATACAAACAACTGCTCACAGCAGACCCCCAGCAGGTATTCAATACCTGTGTATCTGAACACATACTACATTATACACTTCCAACATATGTATGTGAATGACAGTACATTTTCAGATACGTTTAACCAAACTGTATAACATTTACAGCAAAATTACTGCTTTTTTTAATACTTAGCGTGGCCTAACATATCTTGGTATATTTGAAATGTCATTCCTGCACCCACAAGTTTGGGGACTTCTGATACAGCTCTCTTCTGCTTGGCTGGCAATTAATCTGGATAATAGATATATCTAAGCTCACATCAATCACCAACAACCCCAATTTGATAAACTAAGCATAGCTAATATGAATAATGTATTAAAAAGTAGTTGTAAACCCTCACATATACCCAGTGAAGTGACTGGCCTCAGGTGATACGCAGAGATTAAACGAATCCTGTTTGATCTAATGTAGAGAGGACAAGACTCCAGATAAAGTGCAGAATTTATACAGCTTGTGTGAGCTTCCAGAGGCAGGGAGCTAAAGTTACACAGTGCAGAGCTCTGGAAGAAACGTTCTGAGAGCCAATTGGAGGGAAGGGACACTCCACTTTCACACAACATAGCTGAGGCTGCCAATCACAAGCTGTGTGCTGGAACTCCCTCCCCTGTTGCCTTTTTACCTTTTGGTGTTTGATATTTGCATATGTCACTACTGACATGTTTTTCTGAGGAATGAAGAAGCAGACAGAAATGATAGCTAGTGCTCTGAGATAAGACAAGTACGCACAATAGAGAGATATGCTTTGTTCATATTTCATGTCTGAGGTTTACAAATCACTTTAAATTTTAATCATACCAGGTGAAATAGAAAGGTCTCAAAGTGTTTCCATCCCAGGTACTCAGACATCATGCTAATGTGCCCACTTTCCACTTCACAAAGCATTGATAGAATGAAACACTTATTAATCACAGGCGGAATGAAACAGATTCAAAGTACTTATGAACACAATGGTCAGGTCACTAGCTACTGCACTCTCTTCACCAGAAAGTACCACACAAGTCCTGATGGGGGGGAGACAGAGGAGTATGTGGAGATCTGAGAAGGAGGTGTTGATAGCAGTTCAGTACTTACAGTATAACATTTTCACCAAATTTTTATATATATTTATTCACATAAAATATGGGTAATTTTAACAGAATAATATTTATAAACTGATGTGTGAAGTGTCTTGTCTTAAGTTATCAAAACAGTCACCTCACCGGCATATGTAGGGGAAAGGTGTCCGCATCAAAGTCCAGTAACTTGCCATAGCAAGAGGAGAAAGGACACCGCTCTAACCGCCCGTGTAATGCTACGTATGGGGGATGGCCTTAGGCATCATGCTGGCCACGCCCTCTGATGCATTTCGCCCCACCCACTGAGGGCCTGTTCACAGGAGGAGTCACTCCTGTGGTCAAACCCAGGTTGGCTGGGCAAAATGCATCAAAAGGCATGGCCAGTGTGAGGGTTGAGGCCATACCCCATACATAGGACACCGCTCTTACCGCCCGTGTAATCCTATGTATGGGGGATGGCCTCAACCCTCACACTGGCCACCCCTTCAGATGCATTTTGCCCAGCCCACCTGGGCTTTACCACAGAGGAGTGACTCCTCTGTGATCAGGCCCCAGTGGGTAGGGCAAAATGCATCAGAGGGCGTGGCCAGCATGAAGCCTAAGGCCATCCCCCCATACATAGGATTACACAGGTGGTTACAGTGGTGTCCTTTATCCTCTTGCCATCGCAAGTTTAGAATTTATATTGCATTACTTTTGTACCTCAAAAGTCCCACTAAGTTCCTTATCTTTCGAGCATCAAATAGACACTGAGGTCCATGGTATTTTCGGAAAAAAAAAAAAAAACAAACTTCAGCAATAATAATTCACACTGTGCTTGGTTAAAGGAACTCTAAACCCAACATATTGGAAAACATGCAGCCACTACATCTAAGCACTTAAGCTACAATATATTGCATTTTTGTTTAGGGGTTGAGATATGCTTTAAAGCTGATCTCTAGGCAAAACAGAATAACTTTAAAAAAACAACAAACCTCTACAACCCCTTTGAACAATATACACATATACATACACGGACAATTTTTAGAAAAAAAAAAATATTTTTTACATTTTGCTATTAAACATCTCCAAAAAAAAAAAAAAAAAAAAAAAAAAAAAAAAAAAAAAAAAAAAAAAAAAAAAAAATCACATTTCGTCATAACTTTAGGCCAAAATGTATTCTAAATGTCTTTGCAAAAAAAAAAAAAAAAAAAATATCCCAATACATGTAAATTATTTGGTTTACGTGAAAGTTACAGCATTTCCAAATATTTTTTTTTCTTCTACTAGTAATGGCCGTGATCAGCAGCTTACAGCAGGACTGCGGCGGGCATTCTGACACTGGGGGGGGGGGGGGGTAGACACTGACCATCACTGACATCCCCAGTGACACTAATACAGTGATCAGTGCTAATAAAGAGCACTGACACTATACTAATGACACTGGGCAGGAAGGGGTTAACCTCTGGGATGATCAAAGAGTTAACTTTGCGTTTTACTGTGTGCTGTGCTTTACTATGTAAGCACACGTGATTTTGCGAAGCCCTGCCATAGGGTGGTCAGGAAGCCGTTAAAGATACAGCTATTGTGGATGGTCCTCTAGCAATGTTCTCTGATCGTGTGCACTGAGAAAAATTTCTAACAAACCAACACTCACAAAACCATAAGTTCAGCATCTATTTCCCTGCTGAAAATGGTGTCACTGTGGGAGACGCAGTCTAGCCAAAACCAAGCGTTTTTCAGCCTGTTCTAGCAAACAGAAAAGCAACTTGCAGTAGCTGAGAAAAGCAGGCTTTGTTATGTCAGATTGCTGTTAGCAAAGTAGCGATCTGGCAGAAAACAGTCTGCCCTTTCCCCAAAGATGAGTTGTTTAGAGATTAATTTAAGAAATCCCAGTGAAGCAGAGTTGTAAATAGTTGGAGCGATGGGGAAAGATGGGCTTTGATTTCTGCCAGATAACTACTCTGCTGCCTCGGACGGCGGGCGAGATCCTTATGATGATACTACAGCAAGCTACAGATTGCACACTCCTTCAGGGCAGCACAGTAGTAATCTGACAGTCTGCCTTTGTATCAGAGCTCGCCCATGAACCCACTGCAAAACAGACCCCAGATCAGTGCATCCTGCATGTGCCAATATAGTGAGGAAGAGCTGAAAAAAGAGGTACACAAGGTTGGTGGTGGGCAGAGACAGGCAGGTAGAACCTGTCTAGACTGGCCCAAAGTATGAAAAAAAACTACATAGGGGCATTGATGGGACCAATTACCCTCCTGCACATACAGCAAACACAGGTGTCCGGTCCCCTGGAGAGGTAATCTTTGGGAGAAAGCCTCTGAAGGGTGACTTTAATACTGGACAAAATGCATAAAAATATTTAACCGTACACAATTGACAAAAAAAAAAAAAAAAAAAAAAAAAAAGATACAATTCTTTACAGCTAGAGTGTATCATCTGCACACACAAAATAATATATATACACACACACACACACACATTTATATATATCTCTGAGTTATGTTAGGAATCATAAGCTGGTTAGACATTGATTTCAAAAACAGAAAATGACTGTAAATTAAACATAGTGGCTATTGTTTCACTTTTGTGCTTCCACATTAATAAATGAACTTGCATTAATTTATTTGTTATCATGAAATGTATCTTTAGTATAGTGTATATATAGTATCTTACAGAAGTGAGTACACGCCTCACATTTTTGTAAATATTTTATATATCTTTTCATGTGACAACACTGAAGAAATGACACTTTGCTACAATGTAAAGTAGTGAGTGTACAGCTTGTATAACAGTGTAAATTTGCTGTCCCCTCAAAATAACTCAAAACGTAGCTATTAATGTCTAGCTACAAAAGTGAGCACACCCCTAAGTGAAAATGTCCAAATTGGGCCCAAAGTGTCAATATTTTGTGTGGCCACCATTATTTTACAGCACTGTCTTAACCCTCTTGGGCATGGAGAGTTCACCAGTGCTTCACAGGTTGCCATTGGAGTCCTCTTCCACTCCTCCATGACGACATCACGGAGCTGGTGGATGTTAGAGACCTTGCGCTCCTCCACCTTCCATTTGAGGATGCCCCACAGATGCTCAATAGGGTTTAGGTCTGGAGAAATGCTTGGCCAGTCCATCACCTTTACCCTCAGCTTCTTTAGCAAGGCAGTGGTCATCTTGGAGGTGTGTTTGGGGTCGTTATGTTGGAATACTGCCCTGCGGTCCAGTCTCCAAAGGGAGGGCATCATGCTCTGCTTCAGTAGGTCACAGTACATGTTGACATTCATGGTTCCCTCAATGAACTGTAGCTCCTCGCTGACTGCAGCACTCATGCAGCCCCAGACCATGACACTCCCACCACCATGCTTGACTGTAGGCAAGACACTTGTCTTTGTACTCCTCACCTGGTTGCTGCCACACATACTTGACACCATCTGAATCAAATAAGTTTATCTTGGTCTCATCAGACCACACAGGACATGGTTCCAATAATCTATGTCCTTAGTCTGCTTGTCTTCAGCAAACTGTTTGCGGGCTTTCTTGTGCATCATCTTTAGAAGAGATTTCCTTCTGGGGCGACAGCCATGCAGACCAATTTGATGCAGTGTGCGGCGTATGGTCTGAGCACTAACAGGCTGACCCCCCCACCCGTTCAACGACTGCAGCAATGCTGGCAGCACTCACACATCTATTTCCCAAAGACAACCTCTGGATAGGACGCTGAGCACGTGCACTCAACTTCTTTGGTCAACCATGGCGAGGCCGGTTCTGAATGAAACCTGTCCTGTTAAACCGCTGTATGGTCTTGGCCACCATGCTGCAGCTCAGTTTCAGGGTCTTGGCAATCTTCTTATAGCCTAGGCCATCTTTATGTGGAGCATCAATTCTTTTTTTCAGGTCCTCAGAGTTCTTTGCCATGAGGCGCCATGTTGAACTTTCAGTGACTGGTATGAGAGAGAGTGAGAGCGATAACACCAAATTTAACACACCTGCTCCCCATTCACACCTGAGACCTTGTAACACTAATGGGTCACATGACACTGGGGAGGGAAAATGGCTAATTTGGGCCCAATTTGGACATTTTCACTTAGGGGTGTACTCACTTTTGTTGCCAGCAGTTTAGACATTCATGGCTGTGTGTTGAGTTATTTTGAGGGGACAGCAAATTTACACTGTTATACAAGCTGTATACTCACTACTTTACATTGTAGCAAAGTGTCATTTCTTCAGTGTTGTCACATGAAAAGATAGAATAAAATATTTACAAAAATGTGAGGGGTGTACTCACTTCTGTGAGATAATGTATATACTATATTAAAGACATCGTTCATGACAACAAATAAATTAATGCAAGTTCATTTATTAATGTGGAAGTACAAAAGTGCAGCAATGGCCACTGTGTGTTTAATTTAGGGTAATTTTCTGTTTTTGAAATCAATGTCTAACCAGTGTATGATTCCTAACATAACTCAGATATGAACTCCAATAATTCTGAGGTATACGCTAGATACCCTAAATGGTGTAATCATTTTTGCACTGGCTCTGCCTACATCTTAAAGCAACTATGTAAACAGCCTTATTGTACCTAAATGTGTCCAACCCATTTCTGGCTTCAAAGACATAGTAGTTATCCCTCTGCTGGACTTGCTTATCAGCTAGATCTCCCATGAAGTACCATCAACCCGTCTACTCAGTTCTTTACCAGCTGCATTAAATTACCTATTCTTTGAGCTGCAATATGCACATAGCTCATCAGACATTGACTAAAAATGACTATTTGATAAATAGGACTGTTTAAGAGGCAGAAATTACAAGTCATTAGTATGCTAAGTGCGGGTGGCAGGCCGTATATATCATTATCAGGTGTCAGTGGCACAGGGCTGCAGGGGAGGCCTGTCTAGCTTAATTTACCTCGGCATCCTTTTTAGCAAGATGTTCATCCACTTTTGAACTTTCATCACGTCTTGCCTACAGAAAAAAAGAAAGGAGAATCAATTTTTATAGATTAAGTATATGGAGATTGATTGTGTTTTGTAAGCAAAGCTAAAGGCCTCAATCCGTACACGGAGGTAAATTTCACCATAACATTCACTAAAGACTTCGGTGTGTTCTCACCTATCATTACAGCATCTCCATTAGGTTTTAGATCCATAACAGAACCTTCCAACAAAGACCAAGTTTAAAGAAGATGAAACTCTAATAATTATTGCAGTGTTCTAGTGAAGATCATAATGTATATCAGACATTTTTCCCAAATAGTTTAATATAAATAATTACAGGACTCATAAGTGTAAAAACATGAATATGTATACTGTTTGTATGTTCACATGCATTAGATCAGAACCAGGCTGATATTAACAGACACAGTCAATCAGATGCCAGTCTTCTAGACCAATAGATGGACATGCTTTTATACCCAACTCACCATTCATATTAGTTTCTATATACCAAGAGAAATTCTGTATGTAGGCTGCCATTGCTGACTCTTATCTATAAATACATGATGCTCGTCTGTCTTTAAGCAGAACTATAGGCAAATTTTTTTTTTTTTATACCATAGCCAAAAGAGGAAGTCAGAGGAAATTCCTCCAAAGCGAGGGAATCCCTGGTGGACACCAGAACTAGTGTCCCCATTAAAAGATTATATATTCTTTTTCTGGTGACAACTCAAAATTTGGGATTTTCTTTCACCTTCAGTGATGACGGTAAACAGGACAATTAGGGTGATGGGGACACAAACCGCAATAAAAGCCTGCTGTGTTCTGATCCCTCTACACTCTATCCAAAACAAAAAAAAAAAAAAAAGTTTTGTCTTTAACCACTTGCCATCTAGAGGATTTACACCCTTTTTGACCAGGCCATTTTTTTTTGCGTTACGACGCTGCATTGCTTAACCACTTCCATACAGGGGACTTTTACCCTCTTCCTGCCCAGGCCAATTTTCAGGTTTCAGCGCTCTCACACTTTGAATGACAATCATCATGCAACGCTGTACCCAAACTAATAGTCATTTTCTTCATATATCATTTTCTTCACACAACTAGAGCTTTCTTTTGGTGGTATTTAATCACCGCTGGGGTTTTTATTTTTTGCTAAATTAACAAAAAAAGACCAAAAATTTTGAAAAATAAAACAAAAAAAAACACGTTTCTTTGTTTCTGTTATAAAAGTTTGCAAATAAATAAGTGTTTTTCATAAATTTTGTCCAAAATGTATTCTACTACATGTCTTTGGTGAAAATAACCAAAATTAGTATTTATTATTTAGTCTGTAGGAAAGTTATAGAGTTCACAAACTATGGTACAGATCTGAATATTGATCACTCCTGAAGTACTAACAGCCAATCTAATTTCTTGGGGTCCAAGACTGTCAGAACAGTACAGATCCCCCCCAAATGACTTCTTTTTGCAAAGTAGACAGTCCGACGTATATCATAACAGGCATGGCGAGTTTTTTGAAGTTGTAATTTGTTTGTCATAATTTTTCAGAAATGAACAAAAAAAAAAAAAAAAAGATTTTCACTATTTTTTTTTTTACATACTGTCACCAGTGCAGTACAGCGTCATCATATAACTGGCATGGCGGTGATCAGGGACACTGACTGGTGACAGTACAAAAAAAAAAAATTGATAATTGTTTTTATTTTTTATTAACTTTTTTTCTCTTTTTTTTCATATTTCATTATGACCAAAGTAGTATAATGTTACCATAGTAACATTGTACTACTTTGGGGAAGTGATCAGTATTTTTTTTTTTTTTTTACACAATTTGCTTATGTCAAAGAATTACTTTGCTATAAGCAAGCATTTACCTGAATGACATCGATTCATTCAGGGGGTTGTTTTTGTGCTTAGCTGCGATTTGGCCACATCTAATCACATGACACAGCTGGGCTGTGATTGGCCCAGCTTGTGCATGTGATCACTGTGACCATTCACAGCTAGACACACTTGTATACAATGGATGGCATGAAAGGAAGCCATCCATTGTATACAACTGTCATGTGACCTGCTGTGATTGGTTACAGTAGGTCACGTGGTACTGGCAACGGGGCCGGTACACGGATCTGTCATCAGCCGTGTCTGAGGTACACGGCCAGTGACAGATCGCACCGCTGCACAGCTCTGCTGGCAGGCAAACTGTGCAAGCCTGAAAGGACACCATATGGTGTCCACCCGGAGGGACGAGGTGCTCGCCCGGCTGCCATCTGGCCAAAGGCTGGGTGGGAACCGGTTAAACCAGCAATGGGCAAACTACGGCCCGGCGGACCTTTTAAATCCGGCCCGCGGAGCTAGGCTCCGCTAGGCTCCTCTCACAGTCCGCCCTGAAGACCGGTGTAGCATGAAAATCTGTCTCCTATGAGGATCTGTCCCCCTCGACGTCTCTGCGCATGTGCCGGAGATCGCCGATCGGCTGCTAATGCCTGAAACTGGCACATGCGCAGATACGTCGAGGGGGACAGATCCTCATAGGAGACAGATTTTCATGCTACACCGGAACGGCGCGGGAACACGGCGAGAGGAACGCGCGGAGCAAAGGTAAGTGAATTGACACAGGGGGGGCTTGGGGACTTAATATGGGGGATGAATTAATATGGGGAATGAATTACTATAGGGGGGATGAATTACTATAGGGGGGATGAATTACTATGCTTACTATGGGGGAATATTACTATACTTACTATGGATGACACATACACATCATTCATCTACTCTTGGTCTGGCCCCCGGGTCCAATATATGAACCCATTGCGGCCCTCAAGTCAAAAAGTTTGCCCACCCCTGGGTTAAACTGACAATTGCGCGGTCATGAAACACTGCACTTAAATGAAATTTATGTCCTTTTTTTCCCCCACGAAGAGAGCTTTCTTTTGCTGGTATTTGTTCACCTGTGTTTTTTTATTTTTTTGTGCTACAAAAAAAAAAAAAAAAAAAAAAAAAAAAAAAAAGACTGACAATTTTGAGGAAAAAAGACAACATTTTTGACATTTGCTATTAAACAGGTCTAGTGAAAAAAAAAAAAAAAAAATCAAATTTAGTCATAAATTTAGGGCAAAATGTGTTCTGCTGCATGTGTTTGCTAAGAAAAAAAAATCCCAATATGTGTAAATTAATTGGTTTACGTGAAAAGGTATAGCGTGTACAAATGGCGGTATATATACTGGACCTTTTTTTTTTTTTTTTTTTTTTTTTTTTACTAGTAATGGCGGCGAGCAGTGACTTATAGCGGGACTGCGGCAAGCATTCTGACACTGGGGGGAACTGACTTGGTGTCACTGACATCCCCAGTGACACCAATAGAGTGATCAGTGATAATAAAAAGCACTGACACTGTACTAATGGCACTGGGCAGGAAGGGGCTAATATCTGGGGTAATAAAAGGGTTAACTGTGTGCGTGCTTTACTGTAAGGACACTGCTTTGCATGGCTGTGCACAGCCAAGCAAAGCAGTGTGCAGGAGCTGTCAGGGGAGAGAACTGTTTTGTTTATGGGTTTATGTTGGAGATCCTCAGCAATCACCAGCCGGTAATTGACAGCCGTGAATGGTGGCGCGGGTAGGGCGCGTGCGCCCTCTACCCGGAAATGCAAAATCACGAATATATACACACGTGATTTTGCGCACCGCTGCCGCCCTGTAGCAGTATATCTGCTATGGGGCGATGCTAAAGCGGTTAATTATACTTTCGGTTTATACTTTGAGACAATAATCATAAAAAAAACAAAAAAAAACATGCAGATGGGGAAATGCCCTGTGAAGTCAGAGCCTAATCTATATGCTATAGTGATTAAAGAATGCTGGAGCCACTCAAACAATATGACAGCCAGAGATCTAGTACTTTAAAGGAGTAGAGGTCAGCAGTGGCAGCTTCCATGCTTCTTCCTTTAAAAAGAGCACTATCTCACCACCTAAAATCACACTGCATGAATTGGTCTTTTATCTGCCTCAAATTCAGCTTTAATATGCTACTTTAAAAAATCTAAATAATCTTTAACCACCTCCCGCCCGCCATATAGTAATATGACGGGCGCAAGGTGGTACTTTCGTTCTGGGAGGACGTCATATGACGTCCTCCCAGTCTCACTGCGCATGCGCGGCTCAGGGAGCACGCAGCGTGGCGATTGGCGATGCGCTGTGTCCTTCGGACACAGCGGATCACCAATCACGGAAAGAGCCGAAGATGTTGGCTCGGTCATGTGATCAGCTGTGTCCAATCACAGCTGATCACATGTAAACAGGGAAATGCTGGTTATCGGCATTTCTCTCCTCTCGATCTGTCACGCTGACAGCTCGTGAGGAGAGGAGAGCAGGTAATCGGCTTTCCGCGAGGGGACATGTACACAGATCATCAGGGCACGGATCAGTGCCACCTGTCAGTGTCCATCAGTGCCTTATGCCAGTGCTCATCAGTGCCACATATCAGTGCCTACCAGTGCATATCAATGCCACATAGTGCCCATCTGAGCTGCCTTTCAGTGTCACCCATCAGTGCCACCTATCAATGCCAGTCAGTGCCGCCTGTCAGTGCCCATTAGTGCCACCTACCAGTGCCTCCTCATCATTGCAGCCTACCAGTGCCCATCAGTGCAGCCTCATTAGCGCACATCAGTGAAGGAGAAAAATCACTTATTTACAAAATTTTATAACAAAAAACTAAGAAAAAACTTTTTTCAAAATTTTTCAGTGGTTTTTGGTTTGTTTAACCGCTTGCCGCCCTGCTACTGTGTATATACATGTGCAGGGCGGCAGTGGAGCGCAAAAGCACGTTTTAAAACGTGCTCTGCGCTCCCGACACATTCGCGGGTAGGGGGCGTGCGCGCGCGCTCCCGCCGACCTGCGGGCGGCACGATTTGATCCAGGAGGGATCAATCATTAGATTTCAGCCATTGATTTCTGGCTGAAATCGGATGATCGGTCCCTGTCCTATCCTGTCCTGTGTTGACATTTACACAGGGCAGGATATGATGTCATTCTTCTCTGCCTGGACACATTCCGTTCCAGACAGAGAAGAAGAGACATTTAAAACGTGAGTAAAACACTACACTGACAGTTCGAACACACCTAGGACACATTTAACCCCTGATCGCCCCCCCAGTTAACCCCTTCACTGCCCTGTCACCAGTGTCACTGATCAGTGAAGCGATTTTTATTGATCACTGTATCAGTGTCGCTGGCGACTTCCAATAGTGCTAGAGCCCCTCCCAGATAGCGCCATTTTTCCCCGCCAGTACACCAATAAAGCCATTTAACCCCTTAATTCCCCCCCCCCCAGTTAACCCCTTCACTGCCCTGTCACCAGTGTCACTGATCGGTGAAGCAATTTTTACTGATCACTGTATCAGTGTCGCTGGCGACTTCCGATAGTGTTAGCGCCCCTCCCAGATAGCGCCAGATTGCCCACTAATACACCAGTAGTCCCGTCTAACCCCTTGATCGCCCCCCCCCCCCCCCCCCCCCCGAGTTGACCCCTTCACTGCCCTGTCACCAGTGTCACTGATCAGTGAACCAATTTTTACTGATCACTGTATCAGTGTCACTGGCGACTTCCAATAGTGTTAGCGCCCCTCCCAGATAGCGCCAGTTTGCCGCCAGTACATCAGTAATCCCATTTAACCCCTTGATCGCGCCCCCCCCCCCCCCCCAGTTAACCCCTGCACTGCCCTGTCACCAGTGTCATTGATTACAGTGAACAGATTTTTACTGATCACTGTATTAGTGTCACTGGTGACTTCCGATAGTTTTAGCGCCCCTCCCAGATAGTGCCAGTTTGCCCGCTAGTACACAAATAATCACATTTGACCCCTTGATTGCCAAGAACACGCTTACTTGCACACTAAACCTTCATTGCTAGCATAGTGTCTGATTGGATCAATATCTTTGATCAGATCAGCGCTATACCAGCATTCACATTACTATAGTATCCCCAAAAACGCAGTGTTAGCGGGATCAGCCCCAACACCTGCCAGCACCTGCGTTTAGCCCCGAAGACTCACTGGCAGAATCAGGCTCAGAATACGAACCTATTAGACAGCAGCGGCACCCTGACAGGTAGCTCAGACGACAGGGAAGTGGTCCCTGCTAAGGTCAGGCGTACCCGATCCCATTCACAGGTTGCTGATGTGGTACAAATGCATGATGACTCTCATATTGCAGCAGAGTGCCAGTACTAGTGCCGCAGTATCTTTTGGTGAACTGGCGAGCACCAGCCGCCTAGTACGTCCTGGTCGTATGCATACCAGCACTGCAGTATCACTTGGTGACGTGGCAAGTCCCATAAGTGCAGTACAAGCTGGTGCGGTGGCGAGCACAAGTAGTGTCCCGCGGCCCACCAAGAATTCACAGACAGGCCCGTAGAGCCCCTAGTGACCTTCCGGATGTGCTTGCAAATCCCGATTGGCAGCCCACAAATTCTGCAGCACCCGTACTTCCCCCATTCACTGCCCAACCCGGAATTCAGGTGGAAACAGCAAATTTAAATACTCCCCTTAATTTTTTTGAGCTGTTTTTTCACAGAAGATCTTTATGCATTGATTGTGGATCAAAGCAATTTATATGCACGACAATATATCGCCGCCAACCCAAATTCAAACCTTGCCAGACCATTCGCATGGAAACCCATTACGGTTTCCGAATTTAAAGTTTTTTTTTTTGGGCCTAACCCTCAACATGGGCATTAATGATAAAAATCAATTGCGGTTGTATTGGTCCACCGACCCTCTTGTTCACATGTCCGTGTTCTCTGCTGCCATGGCCAGGCATAGATATGAGACGATAAGGCGTTTTATGCACTTCTACGACAACTCACTCAGTCGTCCTCAGGGTGACCCTGAATTTGACCGGCTCCCACAAAATTCGGCCCCTCGTAAATCACTTTAACCAAAAATTTGCAGATGTGTATACTCCCCAGAAAAACATCTGCATCGTTGAGTCCCTCATTCAATATTCTGGCCGCCTTGTAATCAAACAATATCTCCCCAGCAAGCGTGCCAGATATGGGATCAAGATGTATAAGACCTGTGAGAGGGCAACAGGCTATACATGTAAGTTTCGGATTTACGAGGGAAAAGATAGTCACTTGGAGCCCCCCCGGATGCCCAGACTACATGGGGAGCAGTGGCAAGATAGTTTGGGACTTGGCGTCATCCTATTTCCATATGGGGTACCACTTATACGTGGACAATTTTTATTCAAGCGTGCCACTATTTAGACATTTGTTCAATTTGGGAATTTGCGCATGTGGCACTGTGCGATCTAATCGCCGAGGCTTCCCCCAACGGCTTGTAAATACCCATCTTAAAAAGGGGGAAAAAGCCTGCTTGAGAACTGAAGAATTGCTTGCAGTGAAGTGGAAGGACAAACGGGATGTTTACCTCCTGTCTTCCATTCACGCAGATACGACCGTCCAAATTACCACGGCAGCTGGTGTTGTTGAGAAGCCCCTCTGTGTCCACGATTATAACCTTAACATGGGAGGGGTGGACTTCAATGACCAGATGATGCAGCCGTACTTCGTTTCCCGAAGAGAACATCAGGGCCCTTTTGTATCCAGAAGGTGCTGCGCCCCAAATCCCTCTCCCAGATGCAGTTAGCCGTCTGCATGAGAGACATTTTCCCGGATACCATTTCCTGGTACCCCAACCCAAAGAAGACCCCAAAAAAGATGTCGTGTCTGCAGCAAACGTGGAATTAGGCATGACAGCCGCTATTGTTGTCCCTCCTGTCCTGGCCAACCTGGCCTCTGCGTCAAGCCCTGCTTCCGCCTCTACCATACACTAGTGAACTATTAGTATAGGGTACAGCACGGCACAGATCAGGGCACATTTACACAGGGTCTCGAAAGATGTTATTCTGACAGCAACAGGAACTTGCTCTCAGAATAGACATAAGTCAGCTTGGGCAGCGCTGTTGGATGAGATTTTTCATCCGCAGTTATAAAAAACAGAACATATGCCAAAGCATGGGGGCCTGGGGTGGCCAGTGGGTGGATGGCCCCTATGCTTCGGCATATAGATTTTATATTTGTTGGCACATTTCATATGTGCCCACCATTAGAAGTGGGTGGATTGAGGGAGGTTTTTAATGGCGGGCATACCACCACACACTTTTCCTTATAAAGTTGTTTTATTGAGTTTATGTTTTATTGTTAACTTCTTTGCAGGAACGTCAAACTGCAGCACTGACCTGTTTATTCTGACAGCAACAGGGTCTTGATTTCAGAATAAACATAAGTAGGTGTGTGCAGTGTGCTGTCGGATGAGATTTTTCATCCGCAGTTAAAAAAAAAGAATATATGCCAAAGCATGGGGGCCTGGGGTGGCCAGTGGGTGGATGGGCCCCATGCTTCGGCATATTTTATATTTGTTGGCACATTTCATATGTGTCCACCATTAGAAGTGGGTGGATTGAGGGAGGTTTCTAATGGTGGGCATACCACACACTTTTTCTGGCAGAGATTTCCTCTCTTTTTTTTCCCATTCAGCCCACAGGCTGCATAAAGAAAAAAAAAAAAAAAGAACATAGCATATACACCCAACAAGGACCAGTGACGTACTGGTACATCACTGGACTTTGAATGGTTATACCAGGGTGATGCCTGCAGCTGCAGGCATCATCCTGGTATCATTTTTTTCAGCCGGCAATGGGCTTTCATGTAAAAGCATTCCTAGTGGTTAATTAGCTGCAGAATTGCCTTTACAAGCAGCGGGAGAAAATGCCCCCCCCTCCCCCTCATAGCATTAAAAGTGATTAAAAAATAAATAAATTAATTAAAAGGGGACAGTGTAAAAAATAATTAAATCAGAAATCAAAAAAAAAAAAAAAAAAAAAAAAAAAAAAAAAGGACCCTCGCCCATCCGCGCACACCTGCGGTCGTGAGCGTGGACCCTTTACCAGTATGGAAACAGCGATTGCACCATGCATGTGAGGTATCGCCACGAACGTCAGATCAAGGGCAGTAATTATAGCTCTAGACCTCCTCTGTAAATCTAAAATGGTAGCTTGTAAAGGATTTTAAAGCGTTGCCTATAGATATTAAAAATGTATGCAATTTGTCGCCATTGCACAGGGCAGGTGTAATTTTAAAGCATGTCATGTTTGGTATCTATTTACTCAGCATAGCATCATCTTTTATATCATACCAAATAATTGGCCAATATATTTGTGTTTTTGTGCATTTAAAATTAAAAAAAGTGTATATTTGTCAAAAAAAATTGCGTTTGAAAAATCGCTGTGTAAGTAATATGTGAGATAAAAAATTGCACCACCCACCATTTTATTTACTAGGGTGTCTGCTCTAAAAAAATATATAATGTTTGGGGGTTCACTTTAATTTCCTAGCATAAATACAGATTTTTTTTAATGTAAACAAAAAGTGTCAGAAAAAGGCTTGGTCTTCAGGTGGTTAGAAGAGTGAGTGATGTGTGGCATAAATGTCTAATGCTGGGCATAAAAATGCCCCCACCCCTCAAAATGACCCCTTTTTGGAAAGTAGACACCCCAAACTATTTGCTGAGAGGCATGTTGAATCAATAGAAGAATTTATTTTTTTACCACAAGTTTTTGGAAAATGAAGAAAGAAAATAAAAATATATTTTTTCTTTTCTTTTTTATATTTCAAAACCTTGTGAGAAAAAATGAGATCTGCAAAATACTTACCATGCCTCTTTTTAAATTCCTTGGAGTGTCTACTTTCCAAAAAAGGGGGCATTTGGGGGGGGATTGGTGCTATCCTGGCATTACAGGGCCTCCGAAACTGTGATAGGTAGTGGGGAAGTGAAATGAAGAAGTTACGCACCTTCAGGCTTTCAAAGTGCTCATTGGATTTCAGGCTCCTGTATGTGGCTAGGCTCCCAAAAAGTGTCACACGTGTGGTATCCTCATACTCGGTAGAAGTAGCAGAATGTATTTTGGGGTATAATTCCACATATACCCATGGCTTGTGCAAGAAATAAATCATTTAAATGACAATTTTGTGTAAAAAAAAAAAAAAAAAAAAAAAAAAAAAAAAAAAAAAAACACAAAACACGTTTTTGTCATTTTCCAGAAACTTGTGGAAAAAAAATAAATCTTCCATGGACACTATGGGGTTTATTTACTAAAGCTGGAGAGTCCAAAATCAGACTCACTTCTGCATAGAAACCAATCAGCTTCCAGGTTTCATTGCCAAAGCTTCATTGAACAAGCTGAGGTTAGAAGCGGATTGGTTTCTATGCAGAAGGGAGTCTGATTTTGGACTCTCCAGCTTTAGTAAATAAACCCCAATATGTCTCTCAGCAGATAGCTTAGGGTGTCTGCTTCCGAAAAGGGGTCATTTGGGGTGTTTGTTCTATCCTGGTATTTTAGCACCTCAAGAGATGTGATGGGCGGTCAGAAAGTAAAAGCTGTGTAAATTTCAAATTATCTATACCATAGTTTGTAGACGCTATAACTTTCACACAAAGCAATCAATATACACTTATTGGGATTTTTTTTTTTACCAAAAACATGTAGCAGAATACATTTTGGCTTAAATTTATGCCTGAGTTTACGATATATTTTTTATAGCTGAAAATAGAAAATATTGTTTTTTTTTCAAGATTTGTGTTTTTTTTGTTTATAGCGCCGAAAATAAAAAGCGCACAGGTGATCAAATACCACCAAAAGAAAGCTCTATTTGTGTGAAAAAAAGGACGTAAATTTCGTTTGGGTACAGCATTGCATGACCGCGCAATTATCATTTGAATTAGTGCAGCGCTGTATAGCAAAAAAAGGCATAAAATTACAGTATCTATACCATAGTTTGTAGACGCTATAACGTTCACACAAAGCAATCAATATACACTTATTGGGATATTTTTTTACCAAAAACATGTAGCAGAATACATTTTGGCTTAAATATATGACTAACTTTGAGTTTACAATATATTTTTTATAGCTGAAAGTAGAAAATATTGGTTTTTTTCAAAATTTCCGTGTTTTTTTTGTTTATAGCGCAGAAAATAAAAAGCGCACAGGTGATCAAATACCACCAAAAGAAAGCTCTATTTGTGTGAAAAAAAGGACGTAAATTTCGTTTGGGTACAGCATTGCATGACCGCGCAATTATCATTTGAATTAGTGCAGTGCCAAACAGCAAAAAAAGGCCTGGTCATTAAGGGGGGTAAATCCTCTGGAGCTCAAGTGGTTAAGAAAAAATAAATAACCCAGAGGTGATTAAATACCACCAAAATAAAGCTCTGTCACAAAAAAATTATAAAAATTTCATATGGGTACAGTGTTGCATGATCGTGCAATTGTCATTCAAAGTGTGACAGCGCTGAAAGCTGGAAATTGGCCTGACCAGGAAGGGGGGTATAAGTGCCCTATAGGCTAGTGGTTAAAGGCTTGCAGTATTAACATCTAAGTTAAAATGTTGCACTGCTATTGGACTTTTTTTTTAAAATGCTCATAGTTTTGCAAGCTACCGATTCTGTGAACATGAAAACGTACAGCTGTTATAACATTATGTGAATTCCAAGATGCACATGAAGTTCCTGTGAAATGTTTGTAATATCCTCTATGGCACGTGTAGTCTTATAATGTTAAAAATATAGTTAACTATGTTTGAACTTAAACAGGTACTGATATAAATGAATTAAAATATTAGTAAAAGTCTTACATTAGCCAAAAAGAGCAAGGCTTTCCTAAAGTCACCCGAGGTCTCCGAACTGATGTCATCTCCAAGGCTTTTGCCATATACTGTAAGACAAAAGAACAATGCAGTAATAGGGAGCTGCAGACATCTTTAATTCTGCAAAGTGTTGGGCCACAGATAATCAAAGAGTTGCCAGTACTATAACTGTTCCAGGTGTTATGTGTGACAGGTGAGAAACATTTGGGCATAGGGGATCAACCAAATACAAAATGTGCACTACCACCGCTTATAACAGAGGGCTTTACTGACTTAATAATATTCACCTTCAGACACAATGGGGGAGATTTACTAAAACTGGAGCACTCAGACCCCACACTTACACTTACTTAGTGCAGCTAAATATTTAATTCCACGATTTTGGAAACAATCTGCCCTACTCTTGCTGATTAGAGGAGGGAGGTGTTTCAGACTATGGCTGAAAGATGGGTCCATGCTTCCAGTTATACACTGGAACAGTTTAAAGACATATGGGCAGGGTGGATCTATTATTCTCACAATTTACTGCAAAATGTAAAATCTTAGGGACATGGAGGGCTGTTCTTTTCCTCTCTCCTCTGGCTCTTACATTTGGAGATTGCTAGTTAGTATTCAGGTACGGTTAGGTGAAATACCTCCAAGATTGTTTATAGGAATATAAGAATGCTTTGGCTGAAGCATATGTGACTTTCTGAATACTGAAAGTCTGTTAAAACACTTTTTTTCTTTTCTTTTTGCTTTTGTGAGTTTTCTTTTCTATTATTGTCTGATATCTCTATTCCAGAGGTCATTGACATGGTGTATGCCATTATAGAATACTGGAGGAGGTGTGAATTTTTGGTTAACTAGGAATAATTTGGATGTATTGTACGACTCTGCCCAGCTTGCAGACTGTACCTATAGAACCATTTTGCTGATGTACAGACATAGATGTTATATGATTGTAATTTTCTTGATGTCCTCAGACCTTCGTATGTTTGTTTGAAAACGTTAATAAAATGCGATTATACAAAATAAAAAAACTGGAGCACTTTGAATGTGATGCAGCTGTACATGGTAGCCAATATGCTTCTAACTTCAATTAAGCTTTGACAATAAAACCTGGAAGCTGTAAAAATATATATGACTTGCAAGCCAAACTATAAACTCAAAGTGTTTCTATGGATCGCCAACATTTAACACATAACTCAAACTGTGCAATCGAATAATACATTTAGAAATGTAGCGCTCCTTAATACCTTAAAATAAATAAATATATACTTGTAATTTGTGATAAACACATACCATAAACAATTTTTTTATAAAACAATTACAGTGACCATGATCTAAGTAAATAAAAAAAAAAATTTTCAAAATAAAAAATGTGGTTATTATTTTACTCTGAAAAATAGTCCCATCAATCAATAAGTGATCCAATAATAGTGACGTAGTGACTTATACATCATCCGTGATCCTCCAACCAGTAAAATTGTGCGCTCACCTCCTTCTATGCCTAAAAAATATGCTACACACGCTTGTGGTTCACACAACCTGGAACCTGCCAGAATAGTTGTATACCATGGATATGTGGTTCTTCCTATGGATAAAACGGCTAGCCCCTAGTTAGCTGGATATCCCTGCAGGGATTAATCCCTCCCTGTGATAGCCATCACAACCCCCTGATGAAGCCACGTGACCTATGGCTTAACAGGTAGGGGTGGGACTACGACATCACTCGGCACCAGAAGAGATTAGACGGCAAGTACATGCCTAAGCAGCTGACAGAGGATTTATTGTTATCTAGCAATTTTATCTTATCTTAGAATGTGAGTGTAATAGAGATTGGTTTTGGAATAAAACACATTGTTTTAAGGATAAAGCACTATGTCTCCTATCTCCCTTTATTGCTGAGGAACAAATAAGGAGGAGAGAAGCAGGTGATTTCTGGCAGATCTTGTAGTTTCAATGGAACATGAGTGTGATCACTAAACTTGTAGTCTATTGATACTTCCTCCAGCTCTGCAACAGAAAGTCCATACCTCAGTACAGGTAGGACGCTGGAGGAAGAGTGCAGGAGCCTGGCATTGCACCAGTGATCCACTGACTGCAGGTGCAATGCACATTTTTTTTTCCTGCAAAAATGTAAGTTATTATTTTTCTTCATAATTTGGCCTTATGGTGCATAATAAGCAGTTTTTGGCTCTGGTTATGGAGACTGCTATATTAGTGAATATGTTTGTGTCCAAAAGAAGTGCTACGAAATATTCATCATTGGGCCACCAGGGGTAGTATACATTTTTTATTTAGTTGGTTAAAAGTTTTCATGATTCTGAGTCAATTTGAAATATGGGGCTTAAATGTGAATAAAACATGTCATTTTCAACCTTTTCCTCACCCCCTTCTTTTTTCTGTTCTCAGTGTACGATATAATGTTGAATTAAATGATATATGTTAACCAGCACTCGAAGTTCATATTACTACAGATCTTCCAGCATGTTGGAAGACCTTATTGTAACCTAAAAGCCATTCGCTTTTCTATGGGGAACAGAAAAACAAGCTTTGGCTGTATTTGCCACATCAACACACTGAATGAATCCAAGTGAAGACTGTGGAAAGTCTCAATTCTCCTAGTATGTGAACAAAGATAGGCAGATGCTCTCACTCTTAGCAATACAGTGTGCCTGTCCATGATCAGCCTCACAGACAACAGAAACTGACATTTAATCTAAACATCTCTAGAGCTGGGGCACTACTGGAAAGATTACAGTTAAAATATAAAGCATTAACACGCTATGTAGTAAAAGCTTTGACTAATTGTACTATCCCCCTGGTTCATGCATGAGCGTGAAGGTTGTATCGGAGTCCCCTGGACATCTCCTACCTGCGTTGTTTTGTGGATGATCCAGCTCTGCTAATACAAATTAGCGATCAAAATAGTAACAGGAGAAGGGCTGCTGCTGCCTTAAAAAAAACAAAAAAAAAACAAAACAAAACAAAAACACTACTACTGCTAGTGGGGTATAACATGCAGCAGTTGTGTCTGTGCCTTAGTAAAGACACTCCATCAAAGTGACCGCCAGCAGAAAATAGTGGATTACAGAGGGACAGAAACTTGGTAGAAGCAAAGTGGTGACCTTCACAGTACTCTGACAACAGAACAGTAGGGTAAACAAGCTTGTAAACCCACACAGCAAAATACTTCCATTCTCAGGACTGAATGGCCGGCCATCCTGTTTGTTGAACTGATTTTAACCTCCCTAGCGGTCTGATTAAGTCAGTATTTCTGTGCTCAAAGTGGTACATTTTTTTTGCATGGAAATATGTAGTTTTTTTATTGTAGGCCTGTAATTTTTAGGAATAACTCACTGAAATCTGTCCGAACAAGAGTCTAGTAAACATCCCGGGTATGTTAAAATTTGAAACACGAAATCATAAATTAGAATTTAATAAAAAAATCATAAAATATAATACATTTAATTAATATAATCAAACCGAAAACACTGAAATTTGAAATATAGCGCCAAGTTTGCACATCACTGAGCAAAGGTCGCAAAATCATTTTCAGTGTCTGATGATGAATTTCCCCACAAATCATTATAACTCAATGCTGCAAGTGGTTCTAATTTACTATTGCTGTTCTCTAGCTGGTTTAAAACCGCTTTTGACCTAAAGGGACGCTTTTTGGACGCTATGGACATTTCTCAGTTCCCAGGCAGAAAGAACGGTAAAAATGCAGGCAGGGGACAGGACAAAGCAGTAGGGACAAAATGTACGTGAAATGGTTTGATACAGTAATGTTTTACTATGTGATTTTAGTGTGTTTAGTGAATGTCACATTTTGTCCTCATACGTCCTGACGTCGCAGGGACTGGAACCCGGAAGACAGTTGCCGGCATCGGCCAGAGGACATTGCCAGGGACACTGCAGGGGGAAGTAGTGGGAGCGCAGGACAAGGTAAATGCAGAACGGATCCCACAGCAACGCTGCAGTGTATTCCCGAGTATAGCTCGGGGTTACCGCTTGTGGTGCTGAAACTTTACCCCGAGCCAGGGAGGTTAACTTGCAAAATTATAAGGAAGTTGTTAAAAAGCACCATAATCATTCTTTAAAAGGAATCAATATAAATATAAGTGCAACTGATGACCTATTTTTGAAGGTACATTTTCTGGGGTTGCCACCTTTTTCCTTGCTTCAATACCAGAGTCACTGACCTACACTATATTACCAAAAAGTATTGGGACGCCTGCCTTTACATGTACATGAACTTTAATGGCATCCCAGTCTTTGTCCATAGGGTTCAATATTGAGTTGGCCCACCCTTTGCACCTATAACAGTTTCAATTCTTCTGGGAAGGCTGTCCACAAGGTTTAGGAGTGTGTCTATGGGAATGTTTGACCATTCTTCCAAGAAGTGTATTTGTGAGGTCAGGCACTGATGTCGGATGAGAAGGCCTGGCTCACAGTCTCCGCTCTAATTCATCCCAAAGGTGTTCTATCGAGTTGAGGTCAGGACGCTGTGCAGGCCAGTCAAGTTCCTCCACCCCAAACTCGCTCATCCATTCTTTATGAACCTTGCTTTATGAACTGGTGCGCAGTCATGTTGGAACAGGAAGGGGCCATCCCCAAACTGTTCCCACAAAGTTGGGATCATGAAATTGTCCAAAATGTGTTGGTATGCTGACACCTTAAAAGTTCCCTTCACTGGAACTAAAGGGCCAAGCTTGAACCCCTGAGAAACAACCTCACACCATAATCCCCCCTCCCCCAAACTTTACACTTGGCACAATGCAGTCAGGCAAGTACAGTTCACCAAACTGTTACAGTTCACACCAAACCCAGACACGTCCATGGGATTGCCAGACAGAGAAGCGTGATTCGTCACTCCAGAGAACACGTATCCACTGCTCTAGAGTCTACTGGCAGTGTGCTTTACACCACTGCATCCAATGCTTTGCATTGCACTTAGTGATGTAGCTGCTCGGCCACGGAAACCCATTCCATGAAGCTGTCTACGCACTGTTGTTGTGCTAATCTGAAGGTCTTTAGCTTTGACTCAGACAGTTGGCGACTTCAAACGCACTGTGCGCTTCAGCATGCGCTGACCTCGCTCTGTCATTTTACGTGACCTACCACTTTGTGTCCGAGTTGCTGTTTTTCCCAGTTGCTTCCACTTTGTAATAATACCACTAACAATTCTATATTTAGTAGCAAGGAAATTTCACAAATGGACTTATTGCACAGGTGGTGACCTATCCCTGTACCATGTTTGATCTCACTGAGCTCCTGAGAGCGACCCATTCTTTCACAAATGTTTGTAGAAACAGTCTGCATGCCTAGATGATTGATTTTATACACCTGTGACACCATGGAGACGATTGAAACACCCGAATCCAATGATTTGGAGGGGTATCCCAATACTTTTGGCAATATAGCGTATAACATACTGGGTGCCAGGAAGGGCAATATGCACATTCTCCTTCCAGATTAGTGTTGAAACCAGCAAATGGCAGCTTTCAGGTCCTCAATAAGAACACATGGATCCATGATCATTGGGGGAAAAAAAAAAAAAAAAAAAAAAAAAAAAAACCTGTATGCCTGCACCCTTTAAAGAAAATAAAGCAAACAAGCAGCCAAAACTACTGTATAACATACCGGTGTAAAAAGCATCTCCAACTTCTTTCATTTGTTTGCTGGTTCTAGATGCGAAGATTTCAATTAAGATACTTTCAGTTGTCCCTGTTCCCTGGAATTCAGAAGAGAAAGTAAATGTACAGCAAGTTTATGAGAAAGCCCAAGCTTGTACAGCATATTGATAAAGTAAATAAACAAAAAGCACTTGCATTGCAGATTTGATCAAGCTACCCTCAGGCACTCCTGTCCACTGACAGGTAAACAAACAGAATATTTGGCTCAGGGAGGAAAATGGGGATAAGATAAGCAAATTCCATGGATTCTGCCCGTAATAAGGAAAGAATGGCAATCAAGACACCTCTTCTAATGTATCCGATATAATGTTGCAACATCCAGTGCTTTTCTGTAGTGTGTACACGACTTTACCATGTATACAGTGGAAAACAATCATGTGTGAGCTTCTTGAGCCTCGAAGGTGGTCTTACTTGGGAAGCTTAGCATACTGGTGATTTTGACAGCGGATGGGTAGACAGCCAATAGCAACAATATAACACCAACAAGTTCCTAACAATTCTGCACTTTAAAATGAATTACAAGAGTACATAGAGAAATTAGAGCAACCTACCACAGCCATCCAGGCTTCATCTCTCACCAGTGCAGAGCAGACAGAACAATCAAAAGCATGCATTGTACTTAAAGTGTATGTCTGGAAAAAATATTCAGTACATCTCTGCAACACACGCGTTTTCTATTTTCCTATGTTTTGTCTCCAGAAAAATGCCTGTTAATTCTGCCAGAAATCCTGTAAGTTCCTAATGTCCTACAGTGAGCGGACAGAACATCGCCTTTGCTGCACTGAAATATCTATCAGTACCGACAGCCTTGCCAAAGTTCTCTCTGCTGGACTACAGAACACCCCCTCTCTATTTCATAACATAAGGGGGAGGTGTTCTGCAATCCAACAGGGGAAAACGCAGGCAAGAATGACAACACTGCTAGGGATTTTAGTACAACAAAGACATTGCTAGCACGATCTATAGGTTTTCTTTTGTATTTGTGGCATTTTAGATTGCTTTTCTACCACTGTATGTTATTAAATGGCAGATTGGTGGACAGGTATTTTGGCAGAGCTGTTGCATAAACAACCCTTAGGTGGTCAATGCACTTGTTAATGGCTGTGTACCTTGCGGTCATTGGATAGTTTGGTACACAGGCACTGTGTACAGAGCCCATTCCAATAGCTCTGTATCCTGTAATTGTTGTGATGACCAATCACAGCAATGAAAAATATATACAAAACAGTGTTGTTCCCTCCTTTTCTAACAAAGGAAGTAGAGGAATTGCATTTCCGAATGAGAAATGAATGATTTAGCAGCAGTTGCTAAACCAAGTATTCATTTTTCACTGAGGGAGATTTTTTTTTTTTTTTTTCTTTTTTAACCCTTTCATGGCCCACTTCTATCCTACACATCTGATCTCTATTGTATCTATGTAAACCTACAGATTACCCTTCACATCCCTTTTTTTTTGCCCATCTACAAATTAACCTCCTCATCTGCATACCCTCACTGTATGTGACCAGTACCCATTCACCTCTTCCTCCTTCTGGAAATGACCTGCACAGGAAGTATAAAGTGCCCCATTCTCGAGCTCCATGACTGGCACAAAAATGGTCATTGTGGGGTGTTTGTACTGACCCAGCATATGTATTCTAACAGAAAGCCCTGTAAATATTTCTTTCAAAATGTTTTGTCCTTTTCATTTTAACTTTCTAAAAACAATAAATTAATTTGTGTAATGGTCAAAGTATCACAGCACAACAAACTGTAAAACAGTCTGATAATGAAGACAAGAGACAAAACATGGGTATGTACTGCATTTTTTTTTTATGCATAAATAAATTAAATATTTGTGCAGTGCATTATTGAACAAACCCTGAAGTAAAATTGACAGCATGTACAACTTTAATTACATTTTACTGCCTACAGTGGATATAAAGTCTACACACCACTAAAACTAAAATAATATGGTTGCATAAGTGTGCACACCCTTAAAATGAATACTTTGTTGAAGCACCTTTTGATTTTATTACAGCACTCAGTCTTTTGGGGTATGAGTCTGAGTCTATCAGCATGGCACATCTTGACTTGGCAATATTTCAGGTCTGGGCTCTAGCTGGGCCATTCCCAAATGTTAATATAAATGATGAAGCGCTCAACTTATATCCTTCAAAATTAAAAAATAATCAATCTACAAAAATCTAGTGCAAAATCCCCCACATAAATTATACACCCCCTAGTGGTCAATAGTGATATTCAACAGAATGACACTTAAACTGTGCAAAGTGATAAGTATTATACAAAATAAAATGCAAGATCAAAATTCAAAATTATTAGTGATGCCACACTGTGTAAAATAATAAAAGTGTTCAGTACACTGTGGTAATGCTTTCACTCCATGCTGCAATTGTGCTCTTCGTGACTCCCCTCATAAATAGCCAAAGTGCCCCCTCACCTTCAACATTCGACCCTTGCGGGTCACAAGGCTTTATATATATAATATATATCTGCCAGGATATTGATACTCCACTGCCTCCACCGACTTAAATCAAGATCCTCCTCCAAGCAATGGGTTCCTCTCAAATACCTTCCCTCACAATATGGGCTCAAAACAGGGCGCATATGCAAGAGAAGAACAGACCTCCGTAGTGCAACACTATTTTAATGCACTCAAGGTTAAAATGACAAAAACACACTCACATGTCCTCCAACAGAGAGAAGCAATTTCCCATGTGCTATGGGTATACTCAGGTGTACCAAGATGGCGTCCGAACCCGGAACCGGAAGTACGTCACCCCTATGACCGGAAATACGTCGACGCGTTGCGCCACGATCACGTGGCTTCTTCAGGATGCCGCATTGGATGACAGGACTCCCTTTTAAGCTCTTGGAATAATTTACAAGGGGCGTGTATAATCTCCATTTTCTTGGAGCCCGATCTACACAGGACAGCCGTATGCCGCTGCTACTCCCCCTGGTTCTCCCATTATACCTTCTCTGCTTAAACTGATTACATTTACTCCTCAAACATAAATTACTTTATTTCAACAAATCGGTTTATATAAAATATTAAAATTATATTTAGTTATACACTATATATATAAGTATAAAAATGAAAAGGGGAAAAAAAAAAAAATTTAATTAATAGATGTATAAATATATATATATGTAACTAGGGGATTAATAGATATATGTATAACATATATCCACTAAAATTAACTCCGCTCCCCTATATAAATTTATTGAAGCTACCCCATTCCATAAAAAATATTTTTTATTAAAAAATTAATTATATGTATTGTGATTATATTAAAACATATTAATTATAAAATTTGATGAAATATTAATTAAAATTAATTAAATAAAATTTAAAAAAACCTATTCCAATGAAACTCCTGTGTAGTACCCATACCACATGTTTACATAAATAAATACATACCTAAACCATTATACGCCACCAATTTTTACATTAAACATTATAAATTAAACCAAGCAGTATTAAAAATCATTAATGAAGCAGTTAAGGTCAAATTCAATATTTAAACCTCTAGGTGTCAGCGTTTGCATAAGAAAAATCCATTTCGACTCTGCCTGACTTATTGTTCTCACCTTATGGCTCCCTCTCCAATGTTTTTTATATCGTTCCACCCCCCAGAATCTCAATCCCGAGGGGTCATTCCCATGATGACTGGCGAAATGTTTGGAGCGCTGTGTTTTGGGTTACCCTTTTGTATATTTTTCACATGTTCTCTCTCAATCTAACCCACAAAGCTCTTTTAGTGCGTCCCACAAACTGCAGACCACAGTTCCACTCTAGAACATAGACAACCCCTTCAGTTTTACACGTAATAAAATCTTTGATTTCAAATGACCTCCCATTGCTCTTAGATATAAATGCATTCCTTTTTTGATTCTGCCCTTTTGTAGCTTTACAGACACTGCATTTTTTACAGGGAAAAAAACCGGTAACACTAAACAGGGTATTTTCTCTATTCACCCTCGGTGGATCCAATACATTCCTCATTATTTTATTCCTCAATGTAGGAGCTCTTCTGTAAATAAACTTGGGCTGTTCTGGCAATAGATTACCTAATATGGGGTCCATCTTTAAAATTGGCCAATGTTTCTTAAAAATGTTTTGGATCTTTTTATATTGTAAATTAAAATCCAAAATGACCGCTACTTGATCAACCATCTTCTTATCTCTATTTTCTACTTTATTTGCAATAAGTTTCTCTCTATCTATATTAGCCACCTCCAATTTATTTTTCTCAAGATCCGACACCATATATCCTTTAGATATAAACCTTTTTTCCCAAAATCCTAGCCTGAGTATCATAATCATCTTTATATGTACAGTTCCTTTTCAACCTGATGAACTGGCCCTTTGGGATGTTGAGTATCCAAGGGGGAAAATGGCAACTCTCTATCGGAATGTAGCCATTCTTATCAACTTCTTTAAAATACGTTTTAGTACTAATAGTTTCCCCTTGCACTCGAATATCCAAATCCAAAAATTGAATGGATTGATTACTGCATTTCCATATAAACTTTATATTCTTATTATTATTATTTGTTTTAAAAAGTCCATTAATTTTGTTTCATCTCCTTTCCATATGATGAATACATCATCTATATATCGCTTATACATTGCCAGTTCAACAGGTTTATCTTTGTATACCGATTCTTGCTCCCAGTGGGCCATGAACAAATTTGCCACACTCGGGGCAAAACGAGCTCATACTCCCATAGCTACACCCCTAATCTGTCTGTAAAAAACTTTATCATACCAAAAATAATTGCGGCTTAGGCTGAAATCAAGACATTGTGTAATGAATCTTCTCTGTGTCCAATTGAGGTTGCTTAATTCCCTAAGACCCCACCCCGTAGCTTCTAGTGCGTCTTCATGGTTAATAATCGTATATAACGAGGATACATCGGCACTGGCCAGTATTATATCAGAACTCCCTTTTTCTGCTTCCAAAAGTTGAATTAGATGTTTGGTATCCCTCAAATATGATACCGTATTCTGGACCAATGGTTGTAAAAAAGTATCTATATATTGGCCTAATCTGGCCAATACCGATTGGATCCCATTGACGATTGGTCTCCCCGGTGGATTCACAGAATTTTTATGCATCTTAGGAATTGTATAAATTACAGGTATACGGCAACATTCCGGTACCAAATATCTACCCTCTTTACTATTTAGTATTTTCTTCTTTTCACCTATTTTAATTAGTTGTTCCAATTCCTTTTTGTATATCCTTGTGGGGTCCTTTAGTAATTTCTGATATGTGTTCACATCATCCAACTGCGCCTGCAATTCACTACAATAGTAATTCTTAGAGAGTACAACGATCCCTCCTCCCTTATCTGCCGGTCTTACTACTATATCTTTCCTTTTAATCAATTTATTCATACCTATTTGGAATCCAAGTACAACTAGACAGAAATAAATATACAAAAAATCCCCCTGCGCTCCACAGAACCTAGTGATCAAAAGTAAGCTGCTATCACCTATTCTTTATACCTCCAGATATGTGCAAACAAATAATATAAATGATGAAGCGCTCAACTTATATCCTTCAAAATTAAAAAATAATCAATCTACAAGTGGATATATGTTATATGGATATATGTTATACATATATCTATTAATCCCCTAGTTACATATATATATATTTATACATCTATTAATTAAATTTTTTTTTTTTCCCCCTTTTCATTTTTATACTTATATATAGTTTATAATTAAATATAATTTTAATATTTTATATAAACCGATTTGTTGAAATAAAGTAATTTATGTTTGAGGAGTAAATGTAATCAGTTTAAGCAGAGAAGGTATAATGGGAGAACCAGGGGGAGTAGCGGCGGCATACGGCCGTCCTGTGTAGATCGGGCTCCAAGAAAATGGAGATTATACACGCCCCTTGTAAATTATTCCAAGAGCTTAAAAGGGAGTCCTGTCATCCAATGCGGCATTCTGAAGAAGCCACGTGATCGTGGCGCAACGCGTCGACGTATTTCCGGTCATAGGGGTGACGTACTTCCGGTTCCGGGTTCGGACGCCATCTTGGTACACCTGAGTATACCCACAGCACATGGAAAATTGCTCCTCTCTGTTGGAGGACATGTGAGTGTGTTTTTGTCATTTTAACCTTGAGTGCATTAAAATAGTGTTGCACTACGGAGGTCTGTTCTTCTCTTGCATATGCGCCCTGTTTTGAGCCCGTATTGTGAGGGAAGGTATTTGAGAGGAACCCATTGCTTGGAGGAGGATCTTGATTTAAGTCGGTGGAGGCAGTGGAGTATCAATATCCTGGCAGATATATATATATATATATATAAAGCCTTGTGACCCGCAAGGGTCGAATGTTGAAGGTGAGGGGGCACTTTGGCTATTTATGAGGGGAGTCACTTCAAGAGTCACGAAGAGCACAATTGCAGCATGGAGTGAAAGCATTACCTCAGTGTATTGAACACTTTTATTATTTTACACAGTGTGGCATCATAATAATTTTGAATTTTGATCTTGCATTTTATTTTGTATAATACTTATCACTTTGCACAGTTTAAGTGTCACTGTTGAATATCACTATTGACCACTAGGGGGTGTATAATTTATGTGGGGGATTTTGCACTAGATTTTTGTAGATTGATTATTTTTTAATTTTGAAGGATATAAATTGAGCGCTTCATCATTTATATTATTTGTTTGCACATATCTGGAGGTATAAAGAATAGGTGATAGCAGCTTACTTTTGATCACTAGGTTCTGTGGAGCGCAGGGGGATTTTTTGTATATTCATTCCCAAATGTTAATCTTCTGGTGAAGCCATTCCATTGTTGATTGGATGTATGCTTTGGGTTGTTGGCATGCTTCATGTTCAGCTTTCTAGCAGAAGCCTGAAGGTTTTGTGCCAATATTGACTGGTATTTGGAACTGCTCATAATTCCTTCTACCTTGACTAAGGCCCCAGTTCCAGCTGAAGAAAAAACAGCCCCAAAGCATGATACTGCCACCACCATGCTTCACTGTGGGTATGGTGTTCTTTTGGTGATGTGCAGTGTTGTTTTTGCGCCAAACATATCTTTTGGAATTCTGACCAAAAAGTTCAACCTTGGTTTCATCAGACCATGACACATTTTCCCACATGCTTCTGGGAGACTTCAGATGTGTTTTTGCAAAATGTAGCCGGACTTGGATGTTTTTCTTCTTAAGAAAAGGCTTCCGTCTTGCCACTCTACCCCATAGCCCACACATAAGAAGCATACGGGAGATTGTTGTCACATGTACCCACACAGCCAGTACTTGCCAGATATTCCTGCAGCTCCTTTAATGTTGCTGTAGGCCTCTTGGCAGCCTCCCAGACCAGTTTTCTTCTCGTCTTTTCATCAATTTTGGAGGGACTTCCAGTTCTTGATATTGCTGTTGCACCATATTTTCTCCACTTGATGACTGTCTTCACTCTGTTCCAAGGTATATCTAATGCCTTGGAAATTATTTTGTACCCTTCTCCTGATACCTTTTAACAATGAGATCCCTCTGATGCTTTGGAAGCGCTCTGTGGACAATGGCTTTTGCTGTAGGATGCGACTAAAAAAATTACAATACTTACTAAAACAGCTGAACTTTACTTGGGATTAATCAGAGGCACTTTAAATGATAGCAGGTGTGTACTGACTCCTATCTAACATGATTTTGAATGTAACTGCTTAATTGTGAACACAGCTACATCCTTAGTAATAAGAGGGTGTGCTTACTTATGCAAGCACATTATTTTAGTTTTTTATGTTTACTCCCCCCCTAAAGATTTCAGTTTGTTTTTCATTTGAGTCGTACAGTTTATATGTCACATTAAAAAGGTGGAAAAGTTCTGAAATAATTTATTTTGGTCTCATTTTTTTTATATCACAGAAACCTAACAGGGGTGTGTAGACTTTTTATATCCACTGTGTATGAATTTACAAGGTCATTTCCACCATCTCCATTTGTACATTTATGTAGCAATGCAGAGTTAAAAAATGATTTAGAATTGATTTTCAGTCCAGAAGGATAGGTAAACCAATCACTTTGATATGAGAAAGCAATGTGTGATAAAGCAGGCAGGATGAGAATTTGTCACACATCTGTCACCAATTTCTCCTGCCCACCGTCCATTGTTTTCGTTTGCAACCATCTCATACAACTATACAAACACTATACATAATGTCAGTTAGGAACATTTATCAACCCTATGCACAAGGCTGCCTTTGGTACCAAAAACCATGATACTATAAAAAGCTGAAATATAAAAAAAATGGACCTAAGAAAACAGCAACATCACAAAAACTGAATGCATCTAGGTTGTGTTGTAGTGTTTGCTATCTGCAGTATACCTTCATTGCTTTCTTTAGTTGTTTGGCATCAAACACAGCAGGAGGCAGTGTGAGGGAGACCAGAAGATGTTCCAAATTGCCAGATAAGTCACTTTTCAAATCATCTTTTAATTCCTTAAAAAAAAAAAAAAAAAAAAAAAAAAAAGTAGAACATGTTATGGTTACTAGCTAATTTCGGTCAAACTACACTGCAAACTAATAAAACAGGTAATAGATATTAGACTGCAATCTCACATTCACAAATCAATGGGTTTTTTTTTGTTTTTTTTTAAAGTACCTTGATGCATCATAAGTAGTTACAAGTCAGTGCACCTAAACCTTCTTATGCCACAGGACAATTGGAATGGCCCCTCAGGCTGATCAAAAAAAATCTATTAGTTGTTGGCCAGCTAAAGCATCTTTTTTTTTTTTACTTTACCATAGGATGAAGTAAATTAGATTCCAGTGGTTGTTTTGAGCAGCAATCAATTTTAATGGCAGACAATATCTACAGGTAACCATAACGATCAAGGTATCTCTCTATACAGAGTGGATGGAGGTAGCTCTCTGCCAACGGTTGTATCCTGATAGCCACAGTACAGCAGTTATCTGAATAACTTAACAGTGACTGCTTCCAATCAGAAAGGGCCACTGTTTGACCAACAATTTTCCATCTGGCTCCTTCAATTTTTCATTTGAAGGATGCTGAGCAAAAAGGTGGCCAACAGGGCCGCCCACATTGTGAATTTTGGCTGGTTTATCAGGAATTGTCTGAACATGGTATACGGATAGCCTAATATGTCTTAACTAAATATCAGGTCTTTTTTTAAACCAACATGGAGTTTGAATCTTATTACTGGTAATTTGTGATTTAACACAATCAAATATACAACAAAATATCCTGTGCACAAGCTCCTATACCATACTTTATGAACTGTGGCCTAAATTCAAGATCCATTGGTTATCTTGGTAATAAATGTCTATATTTATTGATCTAGAAATCAGTTTTATATTGTTATGCCAAGGAACACCTGGAAAATTAATTTAGTCAGCAAAAAGTGCATCCAAATATAAAACATTTATAAAAATAATTTAACTGACTTAATTATTCTGAGTTAAATTTTTAGCCAAACAAAATTTAGGAACATAAACAAGATCTGGGTGAGTATGGACCAGATTATGAAATAAAATGATTTATTCACATAAGTCTCTTACAAAACACAATATAATAGCCTGTTTCTGATGTACATAGACACCAAGATAATTTGCATAAAAGTTCCAAAATTCTCTGTAACATAATTATACTCTGTGTTTTATGGAATTCAACTGTTATTCCCCTGCAGAAGGAATAAGCCTCTTGCGACTTCTATCAGTGTCCAGCTGAGCACTGGTTAAAGCTTGTATGAGGAGTTTTCATTCTGTTCTGACTGTCCTATGAGGCTATATAACCCCTGACCCTCTGACTGGAGAGTGCTAATCACATGCACCCTTCCAAAGGAAAAGAAACCTCTCTAGCAATACACACTAAAATGAGCATGTTTAGAGTGACTCCTATAGCTCTGTACAACCAGCAGATGGATCGGGGGCCAGTAGAAGAAGGGGAGAATCAGAGAAGACAGTATCAAACAGCCTTTTTACACAATGCAGAGGATTAACCCCTTAGGGTTCACAGTGAGTACAACAAGCATGTTCTACTGCATACAGATTGAATTTACTGTTGTGGGTTTAGTAACACTTTAAAATGAAGGCATTATCTGACTTGGTTTAAACTGGTCTCAAACAACCCAAAAATAAAAAAATGATAAAATATGCCTAATAGTTTCATAAAAAGTTCTGACAATATGCAAGACTGCAGTATTGCATTGTTGCAGTGGACAAGCCCTGGAAACCTCACAGCGTAAAATGTAATGCTAGCCCATACATGGTTTGAATTTTGGCTGATTCTACTGAATCAGAAAAAAATTCAAGCTGTGGGTGGTCCTCTCAGCATCACCCAGCTCAAGAAATTTCAATCTGAAAAATTGAAGGAGCCAGGTGAACAATTCTCAGATAAACAGTGACTGCAGCTCATCAAACACAGTCGCTGACAGCTATAGGTACCAGCTATGAGAATCCAATAGCAGGTAGGGAAGATTCCTCCATCCATGTTATTTAGCATGGATGGGGTTACCAACTGGCTTTTCCTGAATGACAGCAATCTTAATGTGTGTGGCAAGCCCAAGACACAAGTACGCTTTTGGTGTACAGGAGGTTCACATGAAAAGATTATCCACTTTCATACAGATCTTCACAAACACATTTTTCTGAAATTCTTAAATTAAGAATTAACATATCTGAAAAATACCTTTCCACAGGCTGCCTCATATTCTTTTGCAATTAGCCGTCTCTGAGTGCATTGGATCGTTGTGTCAGTATGTTGATTAAGGAATCTTCATCAGTTCCTGAGTAAAACAGAATCAGAAATGTACCACCATTGTGGTTTATACAGGTGATCTAAGTTAGAATCTCCTAGTTTCTGACAACTAATTCAATAGCAAGTCAATAATGCATATCCTTTATTAAACCAGTCTCTCTAAATGCTGCTCACATTGTGACTTAAAAAAGGTACTAAAACCTCTTTTTTCAAAATATATCTGAAATGGCTCCTGCTTAAAATATAAATGAAAGGCAAAGCATTTGTGTATACAGTCGGTATAGAAAAGAATCACCCCCATTTAAAATAATGAAATTGTGTTGATTTGCAGCATGAAATGAAGACAGACACAGTTTTTGTTTTATCCAGCTGTGTTTACTCAGTGCAACTTATAACATCAGAGTGAAAGATAAAACACCAACATGTCAGAAAAAAAAAAAATCAAACACAGAATCACGGAGTTGGAAAAAGGATCATCTGCTTGTGTCAGTATTTGTTGAACCACGTTTTGCTTTAATTCCAGTCATTAGTCTGTTGGGTTATGTTTCTACTAACTTTGCAATATTTGCACACTCTTCTTTGCAGAACTGCTCAAATTCAGTTAAATTTGATGGTGATGGTTTGTGGACTGTAGTCAAGTCAGTCCACATATTTTCATTGGGATTTAAATCTGGGCTCTGACTAGGCCATGCAAGGGCATTCACCTTTCTCTCCTTCAACTGCTGTGTGCTCATTTTTGCTGTGTGCTTTGGGTTACTGTCATGTTGGAAGGTAAACCTTCTTCTCGTTGACAATTTTCTGGCAGAGGGCAGCAGATTTTCTGTAAGAATTTTCCAGTATTTTGCCCCACCTATTTTTCATTCTATCCTGACAAGTGCTCCAGTCCCTGTTGCAGAGAAACACCCCATAACAGGATATTACCAGCTCCATACTTTACTGTATGAATGGTGTTATTTGGATGGTGAGCTGTATTGGATTTTCCCCAGACATATCGTTTCGTGTTGAGGCCAAATAATTCAATTTTAGTCTCATCTCACCATAACACCTTTTTACATATCTTCAAGGTGCATTTTGACAAAGCTTATTCATGACTGCATGTGGCCTTCTTGAGGAGTGGTATTTTTTTCTTGCAACTCTTCCATAAAAGCCACATATGTGGATAATTTGTGATATTGTTGTCACATGCACACAATGAACACTCTTTGTCAGAAATTCCTGCAACTGCTTCAGAGTTGCCGTAGGCCTCCTGGTATCCTCTCTGACCAGTTTCCTCTTGGCGATTTCATCCAGTTTGAAGGGTCTGCGTTACCTCTTCTTAATAATAGACTTCACTGTGCTTATTAGGCATTGATAAAGCCTTTGCATTTTTGTTTGTATCCATCTCCTGACTTGTGCCTGTCCACAATCTTTTAATAGTGCCTTGCCACCCATAGTTGATTGTTTGCTTCAGTTGCATTACCAGGAATTGAAATGCTCCAGGAAAGCTCTTTTCATGCAGAGCTAATCAAAATTACCACAGCTGATCACGGTTGAAAGTCAAATGGCTTTGTGTTCAATTGAGATTTAAGTCAATTTTAGGAGGGTGTGATCCTTTTTCCAACTTGAGGATTCTGTTTTTGAATTTGTTTTATTTTTTCCTGACACGTTGGTGTTATATCTTTCACTTGGATGTTATAAGTTGCACTGAGTAGATACAGCTGAAATAAAAAAAAAAAAAAAAAAAAAAAAAACAAAAACAAAACAACACTGTTTTCATTTCAGGCTGCAAAAGAAAAAAAAAAAAAATCGATTTTAAAGAGGAAATTGTTCTTGTTTACACCCAATGTAGTTATAAAAAAAAAAATTATAAATACAGTTTTTCCTGTTTATAAGTGATCACATGCTCCCTGTTCTCAGCTGCATAAGGAGCTAGTGGAGGAGAAACAGCAGAACACTAATCTTCACAGTGAATGGCTGTGCAGGGGCTGGGGGAGAAATGTGTGGGCAGAAGTCTGATCATTGGATTAGCTCCCAGCACAGATAGAGAACCGACCACAGTGTGTTCTCCTGCATAGTGTGAACAGAGGGACCAGCAGGAAGACCAGGGATTTCACACAAAGGAACCAATACAAAGAACGGGATACTTTTTCATACAAATGCATGGTACAGCAGGCACATATCAGTAACAGGAAATGTTGAGTTTACATATTCTTTAATGTTTTAGATAAAGGTTTGGATTGCCTCCAAGTCTCATATCTTTCTCATCTCTCCAGAAAGAAGACTTTTATATCTGACATGTTTAGGCTGTCCATACAGGACAACTAATCCACAGGGACCTCATTCTCCTTGATGTAGTACTAGTGCAGTGGTGGGCAACCTTTTTTTTTCAACTGAGCCAAATCTCGCCAAAACCACGATTGAAATTTATTTTGAGAGCCACATTTTTAAAACTGAAAATACATCCCCCATATAGTAATTCATCCCCCATAGTAATTCATCCCCCGATATGGAAAGGAGAGGAGTTAGTCACGCTGCCCCGCCTACATCCTGACAGCCAATGTTTGCCACGCTCCGTAGTTTGCCCATTGCTGGGCTAGCTGCAGAGTCCTGACTTTTGGGGCGGCCGCTCGAGAGGAGGGAGGGGAGCGGGCGCCCGGCACACAGAAGAGCCGCATAAAAGTTTGTAAAGAGCCGCATGTGGCTCGCGAGCCGTGGCTTGCCGACCACTGTACTAGTGCATGGTTTGCTGCAGATATCGAACGGATACAAATCTCTTTTGGATTATTTTCTATGGGGACTCTGAAGCTAGCCTGAGAGTGCACACAATTTGATTTAAATGCATCTCACAGACTAACCTTTACCAGATCAAAGAGATTTCAGAATCTGGTGCAAACTCCTTAAAGCCTAATGCCAGTTTTATTTATTTTAAGTTTTAGACAAATTTGGCAAAACATTCCTAATTCCTGTCCCTGTGATGCCCATACAAAAAAGGGGGCATGAGGTTGTTACTTAGACTTACTAAGACAGGAAATAATATACATTGTCAGAGCTTATTTATCCTCTATACACTGGTTTCTGATTCCCTTGGATGAATTATTGTGACTGGTTTAAAAGCAACGTATCTACACTAAAGCCGCACTCCAGCTAACATTTTCTATGCAGCTAAATGCCTTCTTTAATTACTTTTACAGGTGTAACTAGCTGTAGTTACAATCCCTGATGTGACACTAACTAGTAGTTGAATTACAGAACATGAGTGGCTACTGAACCTGGAGATTGTGCAGCTAAAACTCCTGGAACTCATTCGCTTTGCAATCAGACCACAAATCTCTGCTGCGAAAGAGACCTTTCATTGACTGCCTTTCCAAGACCCAGCTCTGTGAAGTAGCTGTATTTGTTCATAACCAAGACAATGGACTTTGTTTATAAAGGGTTTAAATGCAGAATTGTCTCACATTGACTGTGCTTTGCTACAGATATTAGCTTCCTCCTTTGCAGGCTCAAAGAAGTCACTGTTCCGACAATTCTTAAAGGCTTTCATAAAAATGATGAAGTGGCAAATGACTGAAGTGCAAAAACTAAAGCTATTCAGAGAGAAGTGTGAGATTAGCAATGATATGGCTTCATAAGGCCTTATTCACAGTATGTTCAATGCAAATGAACACCCAGCACACAGTATGTTCAATGCAAATGAACACCCAGCACAGTGTCTTTTTGCTGGCTACTTTTTGTGTGCAACAGAGCTGCTCTCATAGCCAGGGGGGGTCCACTGGGGGCAATCATAAAAAAAACAATAGGCCACCATGGTCTGTATGCTGAAGACAGAGTTAGGACCTCTGTGCCATTCCCTTTACCAACAATTTAAGTTACTGAAGAAAAAAAAAAAAAAATAGGTCCTTGAATTTTTGTTGTATAATCCAAAGTCTGACTCTACCCCCTGAATTTCACTGTAACATTTGAGATTTGTTGGACCTTGCAATACTTTTCAAGCATCAGTCACGGTCCACACGTCCTCTCTGTACCACCATATTTCAGCTCATAGCTGACAGCAGGGGACCCTGGTGTGGTCCTCTGCCATTATAGCCCATAAACTTCAAGGTCTAACTTGGGAACTTCCTTTCAACTTTTACATATCTGACCATTCTCACCTGACCATTCACTACCAAAAGGTACTGTCACCCACTGAAATGCTACACACTAGATATGGTTTCATTTTCCTCAGCGCATTCTGTAAACTCTGCAGTGTATGAACATACCAGAAGTAAGTTTCTGGGATGCTGCAATCACCATGTCTAGCATATCCTTCCAGAACTACAGTTGCTTAGATCACATGTACATACTACTAGTTCAAATATTTGGGTAAAAAAAACAGCTGAACTTCCTGACTAGGTTAGCGGGCACAGGATTTACTGTTTGGACTGGTAATGCTAATCTTCAGGGCTAATATTCAATATGTCCAATAAAGGTCCACTGATTATATATGCTAGCTTCCTTATTTTGCAGTGTCAAATTAATATAAAACACCAATAATAAACTTGCGTTTTTGACACAGACAAACCTGATGCAACATGAATGTGAAGACCGAGTCAGAAACTGTAAGAATTAGGACAAATTTAATACCCAACTCTACGCAGTAATAAAATAATTAAAAATGTACCCCACCCCCATATGATCAACAATACGATGCTTGTTTTTTTAGGGTATTACTTAACACAACATAATAACTTACCTTACTCCATGTTCTCATGACAGATGGCAGGCTGTTTTTCTTTCAGATATGGAATATGCGATAATTTCTTGGATGTGTACAGAAGAGCACCTGGTACAATGGATAATCCAACTTAAAGTACTTTGAGCCTCAGTTCACACTATGAACTGATATGAACCACATAGGAACCACACCGTAATCCTGTGCGATTCAGTGTAATGCGATTTGAGCCCATTCATTTTGAATGGGCTCAAATTGCACCAAAGTCATGCATTCAGCAATTTTTAAAGCAGCATTGCAACCAAACCATTGCCGTTTAGTACTATGTGGGCAGTGCAATCTGAATGTAGGGGGGGGGGGGGGGGGACGTGCACAGATCGTGGGTTTCCCACACCACATTCTAGTGTGAAACTAGACTAAGTGAGATGATCTTTTGTACCAGGCACTGCTCTGTACACATCCAAAAGTTTACCATCCAGCAAATGCTTGCTTAGTTGCTATCAGAGAGGCAGCAGCCTAGGGCCAGAACAGGTCCCACCTACACTATATTTTCATCATAGATTCTTTGACAGAAAACCCATCTTACAGGATATCAATCAAAACCAATTTTGACTATTATCAGTCCAGTGCTATCACACACACACATATTGGGGATTTGGAATGTGATCTACAGTCCCAAAGTCTTCCTCCCTGCCAGCTGCAGTTTCAATGACCAGTCCCTCAAAGCTGCCCTTATCATTGCTTCGCTCACCAACATCACCATGAACAATGCAGGATGAGCAGCCCTGTCCTATCCTAATGAAATGAAATGTCTGCTGCTGCTCCTGCATTGTCCATTATGACATAGGGCTGTCCACCCCACATTCCAGCACTTGAGTGCAGAGTGACTGTTGGCTGTTTCTGAGCCATGTAGGCAAGTATTATTCTGTGTTAGATCATTCCCTAGATAAATAAGAACTATATTCTTCTTCAGTGGAAGGAGGGACATTATAATTTTAACTATTTTATTTTTGCTCACATTTATGCTTCACAGAATATAAAATAAAAAAAAAAACACTTACCAAGGCCTTTGATTGCTTTCCTGATAGCATCAGCATCCCTGCCTGCACTGAATCCAGGGAAATCTTTAACAGTTCCTCTGCTGCCAACCTGCGACAGATCAAACAAACTGTTGCACATGACTGGTTAAAAGCAAATGAAACTTTACTAAAATTCAAGCTACAATATATATATATAAAAAAAAAAAATAATTGGACATAATTCTGAAAATAATTCAGAGCACTTAGTTAAATTTAGATTCAAATAAAATAGTCTGTTATGTGAGTATTAAATTGTTTACCTGTGTTATCAGCCCAGTTTACTATGTATTATTATACAGGATTTATATAGCGCCAGCAGTTTACACAGCACATTACGACACAATGGCAGACAATATAATACAGTAGGAATCAGAGGGCTTTGTTCATTCGAGCTTACAATCGTAGCTTGAAGTGGGTTTAAAAATGGTTTAGTTAATAAGGGTAAAACAGACAGATATCAAGTTCAGGACAACGTCTACTTCCGATCGCCTAGGCGATTGCAGTGGAAGTGGGAGTGGGTACCCGCACCCCCCCCAAATGCCAATCCTTAATGGGGAGCAGGGGACAAAGCATTAAAGCGGAACTTCCCCTTTTGGGTGGAGCACCACTTTAAAGATTTATTTAAAATAATCAGCTGATATGGATTTTTGATAGAGTGGGGAAGGATTCGAACCACTGTCAGGTTATGTAATGAGATTTCTCCTGACTTCCTGTCCTTCAATGTTTTTTTTTTAGATAAGAAACAGAGGCAACGCTCCAACAAAGGCAATTTTTTTTTTCCCCCCACAGAGTAGGGGAAGGCTAGAGAGAACCTGTGTGTCCCTATTGCAGATTTTCCTCACTTCCTGTCTGGTAAGATTGTTGTCAGCAGGACAGGAAATTAAACTAAATCTCTTCCAAAATAGGCCAGGATAGAAGTAAAAATTGGCAGTAGTTCTAACCCGTCTCCAAGCTACTCAGAACTAGATAAAAAGGTTTTGGATACACACAAACACTTTAAAAGGTATGGTCCTTTTTCCCACAGTTTCTAATGCTTGTAAAGCAGCATAGTGTTATCTAGGATTCACCTTTAACATCTGAGTCACTTGAGATCATATTGGCTTAGTATCCACCCATCACATATGTTTCTGTGCCAGTGTTAATTACTGCCACAATAAAAAGCTGCCTTACCACAAAGCAGTGGAGCATGAAACACAGTTAATCAAAGCCACATATTTTCTCCTACACTGTCTCAACAAATTCCAAACTCAAATGATTTACAGTAGGTTGAAACATAGCCATTGCACATCCTCTGTATCAGGAAGTTCTGATTTGTTTTCACAAAAGATTTTCCATACAGTCACATTCCAGGCTTTCCCCCACCACCTCACTACAATGTGCACTGCAATGATCTATTGTCCTGGCCTCCAGGGTATTGGCCGCAATACTGGCTGAATTACAGCGCACAGACTTTGTAACAACCTCAAAAGCCATGTTTTGTGGCCACATCAACATGACACACTGTAGGAAATATATTCTTTTTGTAAAAGGAGAAATTATTCTATCACACGAGTGCAAGGACCTAATACTAATACCTAACTTCGTACAACTGGTACCAAAGTCAGCCATAGATGGATCGAATCTCTGTGGGTTCAGCAGGGACCATCCAAGATCCAATCCACCTATGGGCAGGTTGGTTGTACTGAAGTTGATCCATTCATCAACTTCAGTACATCAGTACAACCAGCCTGTTTGATTTTTTCCATGTGATCCCTGCCAGTGGCTATAGCCGCCAGTAGTGATCATGGTGTTCTGCTGGAAGGAAGGCTCCCCACCAGCAGAACACAATAGCGCTGTGGGAGGGATTCCCCTATCAAACACTGACTCTGTTGATGGAGGAACTGAGCAATTTTCTCTCCTTTCACACACGGAGGAAGGACATAAAACTGCATAATCTATGAGCTGATAAATAACCGTTACGAAGATATGCCTTATTTTTCTGTGTTCGTTGGGGCAGAAAGCAGTCAGAATCAGTCTCACAGGGACACAGCACCTGAATGGGTAAAACAGAGGCTCTAACAGTGGTTTATATTGCTGCCTGTGACCCTCTTGGAGGAACACCTTTCACTTCTTCTTTACTGGGAAGTGAACCCAAAGTAACAGAAATTCTTACTCTACCCTACTACAGTCAATAAATGTAGTATAAATGTAGGAGATGGAGTGCAATGATGGTGTGTCAAATGGCCCAAAATAATTCTTCATATTGGCCCTTTGGGCATTATTCCATAAACTGACCCCAACTGGGCATGTGTCCTTCCATTCACACCAAGAACTGGGCATATGTACTCCCGCTGACACCAATGAAGGGGCACAATTCCTCCCAATGACATCAACAATGGGGCACAATTCCTCCCAATCCAATGACACTAACAATGGTTCACAATTCCTCCCAATAACACCAAATGATGGAACACAACTCTTCTCACTGACACCAATAATGGGACATTATTCCTCCCACTGACACCAACAATTGGGCATATGTCCTCCAACTGACACCAATGAAGGGGCACTATTCCTACTACTGACACCAACAAAAGTTATTGTTTACTCCCAGTGACACCAGGACAATTTCTATACACACACACACACACACACACACTCTAAAGGGCAGTATACGGTTAAATTCTGGAGACTTCTGGCAGTTGCATTGGATCACAGCACTTTCACACTGCCCCATACCTTTTTAAATAGCCCTGAAAAGGATTGGAAGTACAGGGACTGTGTGTTTGAATACTAGTAACATGAATATTATGAACGTTGGTTGCTAGAAACTGGAAAAACTAGCTCTACTGCAATATATGTACAGCTGCACAGTCATACCATAAAAAGTGTAACATTTTATAACTATTCAACTCTCCAAGGTTGTCACTTTAATAGAAACAATGTTATTGATAAAATAATTCAGATCGGTCTCATAAACCACACTATGAAGGAAACAGCCAAAATAAGCATAGGAGGAGATGTAGATCCGGGAAGGTGGCTGCTTTAATACACACACACACAAACATTTCATGTGGATCTCAAGGTTATTTATAGCACACATATTACCAGTAACTTTACAAAATCAAGTTGCATCTGCACCATATTTAAAGTACACATAAACCCAATCAATAAAATATCAGCTTTAACACGGTACCTAGCAAAAGTGTGCCTGTTCCAGAACAGGAAAAATTTGGACTATAACAACGATGCTAAAGAACTGCACTATATGCAGCAGGGGAGTGCAAAAGGGTAGCATGTATAGGAAAGAAAAGTGAAGGATATGACAGCCGGCAGTATGTGTGGAAAAGGAGTGTGAAAAGTATGATAATTGGACAGAGGTGTGAATGTGAAGTGCAAGAAGTGTGACAGTGGGCAATATAAACAGGAGAGGAGAGTGAGGGGTATAAAAGCGGGCAGTAAGTACAGTTGAGGAATGCTGATGGTATGGCAGGAGGCAAAACATGCAGGAAGAGAGTGTGGAGTGTAAGACAGCAGGCAGTATGTGCAATAAAGGAGTGCATTATGGGAAGAATAATGTGCAGAAGATGAGTGCAAGGGATACTAAAGGGAGGTAATCCGTACAGAAGTAGGTAGTGTACAGTGGATGTGAAAAGTTTACACACCCCTGTTAAAACGTCAGGTTTTTGTGGTGTACAAAAATGAGACAAAATAAATTTGAGAACTTTTTCCACCTTTAACCACTTGCCCTCCAGAGGATTTACACCCCTTTCTGACCAGGCCATTTTTTGCGTTACGGCGTTGTTATTTTAACGGATAATTGCACGGTCATGCAATGCAGCACCCAGATGAAATTTAAGTCCCCACAAATTGAGCTCTCTTTTGGTGGTATTTGATCGCCTTTGCATTTTTTATTTTTTGTGCTATAAGCAAAAAAAGACCGACAATATTGAGAAAAAAAAACAATATTTTGGACATTTTGCTATTAAATAAAAATATTAAAAATGTAAAAAATCAAATTTCGTCATAAATTTAGGCCAAAATGTATTCTGCTACATGTCTTTGTTAAAAAAAAAATCCCAATACGTGTAAATTAATTGGTTTACATGAAAGTTATAGCATTTACAAATGGCGGTATACTGGGATTTAAAAAACAAAAACAAATTCCTCCTAGTAATGGCGGCGGACAGCGATATTTAGCGGGACATCCCCAGTGACACCAATACAGTGATCAGTGGTAAAAAAAAAAAAACCAGCACTGACACTGTACTAATGACACCGGGCAGGAAGGGGTTAATGTGAGGGGCGATTAAAGGGTTAACTGTGTGTAGGGATTGTTTTACTAGGGGGCGGGGGTGTGCGCTTTACTGTAAGCACACTGATCGGGATGGCTGTGCACAGCAGTGTGCCCGAGCTGACAGGGAGGAAAACTGTTTGTAAACAAAACAGTCTTCCTCCCCATCGGTGATTGTTGGTAATCACTGGGCCCCGGCGGGTAACCACCGGCTGGGACCCGGTGACTGACATCCGTGGCCGCGAAGGGCCAAAAAAAATTATGGAATATTTTATAGTGAAGTGTAAAACCATAAATAAAAATCAATCAAAAGCTTAATAGCTTTTTTTTATCTTAGTAAATGTGAAATTTTTGTACAGCAACATTGTCTAGCCTGCAGTTTTTAAAAAACGATGTGCCTACACATCTCCACTCTCCTGACAAGATGCTGCGTTCTGTATACAGCTTGACTAAGCAATATTTCAACACTTCGTTTGCTTCTGCACAGATCATCAATCCATCTAGTTTAAAAGCAAACTTTCTTTGGTAAACATTTTTTGATCTAGACACACTGGGCCTTTATTTAGGCCTGGTTAACATCTATGTGGGTTTGTGGCGCACGTTTGCATGGGCATGGAAGCCCATTCATTTGAATGGGCTGCCGTGCCTGTGATTCCCACAGGAAAAAGGTTCCATCACCTTTCTATAAAAACAGAAGCCAGGAAATAGCATGGCGCTTTTGCATTTCCCGTCAGTTCCCGCACCTGCTCTGCATTTTTGAATGCATAAAGGTGCCATTTAAAATGAATTGCAGCCCCACACGTTTTCA